ACTGTAGTTATTTATTAAGAGCATGTCCTCATGAGGCCACAGGCTGCAGTTTGTTAGGAACTCCACTAGAGGGCGTCCTCAGATGTCACTTATTCTCTACAAACTAGTAGCACTGGTTTAGTGTTCATATCAGCTGCTCCAACACAAACCTTCAATAACACTACATTATCTTACACTACCAACTATCTCAGAGGTGATGGGCTATTGGAGCTCATCAGCTGATGCTGTTTTTAATCACATGATTTGGTGCTCATTAGAAACACCATCAGCTGTTTTTCAGCTTTGATATCAATCAAAAACAAAATAAATGAATCAAATACAATCAAAACTTTATTTAGCTTTTGTTCAGTAATTTGTGCCAGTATGCAACAGTTCTTATATATACAAAGATCAGACAATAAAAAGGTTTGAATTTGGCACCCAGACATTTAAAGAACATGAAAATGTTTATTTATAAGCACAGTGTTTTCTAATGATTTAACAATCTTAAAGGAAGGTAATGCAGTTATTCAAATGAATTAGACTGCATTAGATAATATCAATCAGTGTGGTCAAACTGGTGTGTTGTAGTAATACGTAGTAATGTGACACATCAAAGAAAACAATAACCCATATTGATCAGAACTCAAAAACTCAATCTAAACATTGTACCTCACCAATAAATATACATTTATTACATTAAATGATGTGAATCTTTCTCTAGAAAATCAAATGTTTGTTCTACTCAGTGTGATTGACAGGAGAGATGATCAGAGGGGCAGAGTTTTTACCACCATAATTAAGACAGGGACCAAAGCATGGGTAGAGTTTCTCAGTGAAGGAGCAGCCATTAAAGGAGTAGATAAGAGCTGCAGCATCAACATCATAAAAAGAGACCAGACCCTCCTCATAATCCACAAACACCCCCACCTTCTCAGGCTGAGACTGCAGAGAGAGACAGACTGCAGGGTCAGCAGCAGCTTTGTACTCATTTTTATTCCTTAACAGTATCAACCAGTAACCATCCTGAGGTCTCAGTGTGATTATTCCCTTCCTGTTGATCGACTCTCTGGCCACTCCTAGATCCCACTTAGTCTTCCCTTTAACCTGAACCTCGAAATAAAATCTTCCTGAAGAGAAACTCTGCTTTGCTAAGACACAGGTACAAGCATCAAATCTCTGTGGATTGTCTGGGAGATTCCTCTTTACATCACCATGTTTAACTTGTTTTCCATCATCAGACAGGATGAGCCAGGGCTGTGCTGTATCAGGATCAAGTGTCACATCCACTGCATACTGCTGGACCCTCTTCAGCTCGACCTCAAACAGCTTCTTCATCTGTTTACTGAGCGTCTCCTCCAGCTGATTCACAGCTCTCACCACAGTCCCCTCATATGAAGGTGGACGGATGCTGACTTCTGTCCAGTCCTTGGTGGGTGGAGCAGCGTTCAGAGACAGGAAGCTTTGGAGGAGGTGGAGGTGGTCTTCAGACTGTGAGAGCTGGTCCACCTCAGAGCTTCTCTTCTTCAGCTCAGAGATTTCCTGTTCCAGCTCTTTGATGAAGTCTTCAGCCTGTTTCTCTGTCTTTCTCTGCTTCTCTTTGATCGTGTCGATGAGCTCGGCCTGGCTTCTCTCAACAGACTCCTTCAGAGCGGTGAAGACCTGAACACCATCTGCTATCTCTCTGTCTGCACCTTCCTTACTGAGCTCCACTGAGCGTTTGATCTCCTGAATCTTCAGTTGTCTCTTCTGGATCATCTGCTGAATTTCAGCCTCTGTCTTTCCCAGCTCGGCTTTGTTTCCTTTCGGTTGAGCTGACTGTCTGAACTGAGCAACCATCTCAGAGATGAAAGTATTGACCTTCAGCTGAGGTCTTGTGTTGAAAACCTTTTTACAGTTGGGACACTGACACGGGACATTAATATTCCAGTGTTCAGTGATGCAGGTTTTACAGAAGTTGTGTCCACATGGTATGGTGACTGGATCAGTAAATACATCCAGACAGATGGAGCACAGAAACTGATCTTCAGTCAGCAGACAGCTGGCAGCAGACATATCTACACCCTGAGAACAAAAAGAAAAAACAAAACTGTAATTAGATTTCTTTTCATTAATTTTTAGATACATGTGATTACTGGAATATAAAGAGAGTTATCCTGAATTCTGTTGGTATATGAAATCCAAATCAAATAGCTGTGGTTGTTGTCTCAATCAATCTTGCTTTCTTTTTTACATCATATTTAAAGGCAACCTCTGTCTGATCACTGGTTGTTACTCAAATAATAAAAGAAAAAAAAACTCAATCCATGATAATTTGATGTCTATGCATTGAACCGATGAATCCCAATCCCTCTGGTTCCTGTTAATAACATAATTTAAATCTTTAAAATCATAATGGAATAAGATTGTAAACCCAGAAAACACAACATGATCCTTCCATTAAACATTAAATAATACAATAATATAATAATACTGCTGAAGATTAGGTTGTTATTAAATATGTTTAAATTTAAAGTCAGACAAAGAGGAGCTACAGAGATGGAGGACGATTTCTCTGGAACTTCCTGTCTGAGTCGAGCTCAGGTTTTGTGTTCATACTGGAAACACGTTGAAAACAGGCGGTAAAAAGCTGTGACTGCATTCTGTCTCATATTAACTGCACAGATTTCATTGTGGTTGGATTTTTACTTCTGTTTGTTTAAATGCTGTTTCGATTGAAAATGACACATTCCTATTTGCATAATAATTAAACAATATTTTAATTTGTTAAACAGATTTTAAATCAAACAAAAAGTATGACTATGATAAAAATAAACTATCGAATATTTTCTTAGTGCATCGTGCCTCTGTAGGGCAGTGGACTCAGCAGAGGTTGGCAGAGATTCTGCTGTTTAGTTGAGAAAAACCTGATGGATTCAGTTGAATTTGTCTTCAGAGAGAAACAGAGAGACTTGTCTCGACAGCAGCTCTGCTGTCTTCAGACAAACTTTCACCTTTCCAGGAAATGTGACGTTGAAGCGTTTCCTGTTTCAGTGTTGCTCCTCCTATCAGTGTGGATCTGTGAGTGAGCTTTTACTGTCACCTTTTTCTATTCAGAAAGATTAGTGACATGATCTGACTTGAATTTTTATTGTTACACTTTTCCAAATGTCACCTTTTTATTTCTTGTTTATAAAAACCAGTGAGGCCAAATTTACTGTCAGTTACAAAAAGCTCATGGATTACACAAGAGAAGTTATATAGATCTGTATTAGCTGTACTGTATGTATTTTATATTAGCTATAGCTATTTTATTCTTTTATTTGTATATCTTAACTGTTTATTATTTGCCCCAGTGCGGTTAATTGTGCAGTATGTTTAATTATTTATTTATTTAAATAGAATTAATCACATTACAGTGTATTATTTCATATTTTCACATATTTGATGAGCTAAACACAAGCTGTATTAGAACAGTGACCAAGTATCAGGGAGAAGAAAACACTGAATTGGTCAAAAAAGAATCCTATTAAGTATGATTGTTAAAAATAAAATAAAAACATAACACAGACAGAGGATTGTATCAAAAGTTCCTAAAAATATCAGAAAAAATCATTTCTGATCAACATTGACAGGAAATAATCTGCTCAAAATTCATCCAAATCACTGGTTTTACTCCGGCAGTTGTTGAGTTCAGTGTTTTGGTTCATTGATCAGTTGATCAGCTGTTCTGTGTTTGTTGATGGGTCCCTAAAGGAAAAGGTTGGGAACCACTGAATTAGTGGGCTAGAAACAAGTTTTTGTTGGTTGTATGTTATTATTTTTTGTGAACCACTTCTGATAGGTACTGACCTCTGCAGACCGGGAAGAGCAGCAGGTTTGGAGATGTTCTGACCCAGTCGTCCATCACAATGTGGTTCTTGTCCTCACGCTGCCCATTTTTCCTGCTTCTAACACATCAACTCTGAGGACAAAATGTTCACTTGCTGTCTAATATATCCCCCCCCACTGACAGGAGCCCTGATAACCAGATAATCAGTGTTATTCACTGGCAGTGCTCACTGTGTTGGGCTGATCGCTGTAAAGTTCCCTCCACTCATTGAATGCTTCAGCTCAGCTCAGAGTAAATAAGACTGCAGTGAGTCGGTTCTAGCCTCCACAACGTCCATTAATTCCTGATAATGAACCTCGTCGGGCATTATCTCTCACTTATGAGTCCTGTTTTTAATGACTTTACTACTTTTACTCAAATAAAGACTGTTAACTTCATCACTTTTGTGTATTTTAAATAAAAATGTCCATTCTTCAGCATGTTTCCTGTCATAATGCTGCCAGGTGGCACCACTGATAATGGTCACAGGTGTCATATTATTGTATTGTATCAAATGTATTAATTTATCCAAATTATTTTTCTGTCTTTAAAATGTAAAAGTGGAAACTTAAGAAGAAGCAATAATTACCAAAAGTAGGAATATATATGTATACATACATATATATATATATATATATATTTACAAATGTTTTAAATTTTTTGGGCGGTGAAGTTAAAAAAATGAATTGAAACTCTTTAAAAGGTTATTTAACAAATTAATCTTGTCAAAACACACACAAAAATTTGCATTACATACATTTTAAAAAGACTTTTAAACATTTAATAGCCAGATATGTTTGTATGTGTGGATACTGATATCCTATAATCTCTGATGGAGAGTACAGCGGGAAGCTGTATTAGTATTATTTTATTTGTTGTTGTTGTTGTTTGTTTCTCTTGTGTTGGTCTTGTGTGTCAGATATAAATCATTTTGACCTTGTGTCATTACAGAAAAGACTTTTTAATAAAAAGACTATTAACGTACTATCAGTATTATTATGGGCTGTTGTTTGTTTGGAATGTGTTTAGTTCGAGGACTCCACTGACCATGCTGCATTTGGAAACAGAAGAACTTGGTCCTCCCGGTGTCCCTGAACGCCTCACGGTGAGTCCAGGGTATTTAACATTCTACCCTGGACAGCGGCAGGTTGTTGCGCAAGCGCAGCCCATTCACTGTGCATGAATGCGGAGTGAGGAGAGGACAGGAGCACTGGGAGTACTGGGGGGACTGGGAGGACACAGCGGACTGGACGGACCGGACCGGACCCGGGCAGGCGCGGACATGGATGGACAGAACGGCAGCGGCAGCATCTGCTCTCGGCCGCAGGGCACCGCGGCGGACGGCAGGAAGAAGAAGAAGAAGGAGAAGGAGGAGAAAATCCCCGACAGGGTGACTCTGAAGAAGGAGATCGGGCTGCTGAGCGCCTGCACCATCATCATAGGTGAGGCTCCGGGGAGCAGCTTCTGTCCTGCACAACTTCATTAAAGTGTCTGCAAAAAACTGCTGCAGGACAATAAAGGTTCAAACCCCCTGTGGAGTGAGTCCACTGGGACGGGGGGGGGGTCGAGAGTTTTGTGGCATTGCTTGTAAGAAAATAGGGACTCCATGTTTGTTTGCATTCACATCAAACTGAGTTGTAGTGCTTACGTGGCTGAAATATATGAAGTCCAGCAGAAGAACATTGTGTGCTGGAGCAGAATGAGCAGCAGGGAGCTTTAAACACACCTACACGCAGTAAATGTGAGCATCATTCAGGCTGATGGAGGGATGGAGGGATGGATGGAGGGGTGGATGGAGGGGTGGAGGGCTGCACCACTCTGCTCTGGTGGTATTAATATTAACAGTCTGCAGAGCCGGAGGGCGAAATGTCAGCACCAGTTGTCTGGTTTCCCCAAACTTCAGCCCACAACCTTTATCCTATCATACACTGACCGACCGACATATTTAATGTATATTTGATATTCTGATGATCAATAACAGTAACAGCAGAGAACAGCTGATAGACTGAACTAATGGACCCAAACAGTGAACTCAATAACTGTTTTAGTTTGTGTTAAATTAGACATTTGGATGTGAATATTGATCCCAGATCAGATTTTCAGATCGTATTTTTATTTATTTTTACAGTCAAACCGACTTAATCTGCTTCTTTTTTTTACAAATTCAGTGTTTTATTCTCGTTGTTCTATCAGCTCTTTGGTTGTTTCCTAACGCAGGCTGTTTATCAGAGTGAAGCTCTGTGAATGTAACTAAACCTTAAAGGACCAGTGTGAAGGATTTAGTGGAATCTAGTGGTGAAGTTTCAGATTGCAACTAACTGAACACTGCTCGCGTCTGTATTTGGCTGTGAGATGTGTACAAGAAACAAGGGTGACTGCGTAACGCTCCCTATCTTCAGCCAGTGTCCGTTCTGGTAACATGTAGAAACATGGCGGACTCCGCCTGAAGAGGACCCGCTCCCTCTGTAGATAAAAACATAACAATTGCTCTGGCGACCCCTAGTGGTTGGGAACCGAACTAGCGATTTTGAGCAGATTATTTCCTGTGAATATTGATCAGTGATCAATTGTCCTGTCCTGATGTCCTCAATATATTATGTAGTTTTTTGAATTTTTAACAATCAAATATACTTAATAAGTTTCTTTCTTGACAAATTCAGTGTTTTTTTTTCTCGCTGACGCTTAGAGCACTTCTGGCTGAGGCTGTTTATGAGAGAGCGAATGTTCTGTAAATACAAGTTGCATTCAGGTCTTCAAAGTTTATGGATTTTATTAAAAATCTAAACTTCAAAAATAACAATTTTCCTCACGATATGGGCCTACCGTGTATATTTTTAAAGTTTTCTTACATGCTTTCCAGTTCCACAGTATTCTTATAAATAGCACATAAAACAGGATCAATTATTAACATTGTAAAGAACCTTTAAAGGTCCAGTGTGTAACAATCAGGAGGATCTAGTGTCAGAAATATAATATTCATAGGTGTGTTTTTATTAGTGTATAATTACTACGGTAGAATATATGTCCCGTGATCTAGAGAAACACAGGAGAGAAATGCTTTATCACAGATGAAACTATTACATTAATGCGTCATGGAATAGCATATTAACTGTTAATGCTATGCTAAGAGAGAGAGAGAGCTAATGTTATGCTGGCTAGATTCAAAGTCAATATAGGGTTAGGTGTAAGCTGTTATTAAGACTAAAACTATCTCTAAATATGAATAATATAACATCCATTCTGTCGATGTACAAACTCAGATACCTTTTGCTAATAATGCTCACAGCGACTCTTTAAACTGCATTTAAATTATTTAAATTGTATAAATAATTTAAATAATAATAATTTCTTGTTTAGCTGAATCATCTTTTCTCTTTATTGTAATATTACTTAGCTGCACTGCTAAATGCTCATAGAAAGACATTAATTTAGTTTTATTCATCACATGACAAGCCAAAAACTCTGGTTTCCCTTTCTACACGTCAACACTGACAACAGAGTCTCTAAATACCTTCAACCTGCAGGAGCTTTTCAAAAGGTCCGTTTAATGTGACCTAAAACCAGTTTATGTGGACAAAAGACCGAAAAGCAAAGAAAAATCTATATTTTAAAATCTTAAAATATCAGATCACATCCTCAGTTATATTGTTCCCCTATTTAACAATGAAGGCTAAAACATTCTCAAAAACTCAATTGCTTTGTTTTTCTGCTCTGCCTCAACTCTGATAATGTAGCTGCCGTTAGCGTCAGCAACCGAACGGGGCTCAGCAGCCTCCCAGTGAACACAACAGTGTGTCGACAGCGGTACCGAGGTGATTTATGGAGTTTCCTGATGGACGAGTTCCTCCTTAACTGCCTGCAGACGGCGCTCTGATTTCTGTTTCCCCACGTGGACAAGGTCTTAGTCGGTAAGGGGGGGTTAACGAGACTGTGATCTGTATCTGTTCCACCGACTAAATGATCTGTATTCATAATGGGCGGGGCTTATATCGGATATGGGTGGTGCTTAAACGTGAAGTGGGCGGGGTTTGACCAGAAGTTGTTGATTTAAGCCTGAAAGTGATCAGAAGTTTCTATATTTATTAAAAAACTATTACCAAAACTTCAGAGCAATATTATTGATCCCAAGCTTAAAAGAACTTTTATATGCGACTATATCCTACAGCTACACGGATACTGACACATTTTACTCGTTTGATACTCATTATCTGTACCGGATGCTCATTTCAGCCGAGTACTCGCTCAACCCGACTGGAAGAGCAGACGGCTTTGTGGTTTGTGGTGCGGGTTCTGGCTAACTGGGCCACCTCTCCCTCTCGGCCGAGCTGTTGTTGCTCGCTCAAGGCGGACATTATTGTAAAAATCCTCCTCCAGAACAAGAGAAAGGTCCTGTGTGCAGAATGCTGAAGCACCTTTCCATTCAGAGAGAGAGGACTGAGTGAACAGGCTGGCTGCTCCGCACGCCGGACCGGCCTCCACAGTCACGCGCTACTAGATCAAAACTGAGCCTTTTGTAGACTCTTGCAGTCTGATTTTGTGTCACAATTCGGAAGCTGCAGGAATAAACTGATGCCGAAGGTGAGTGGGTCACTTCCCACCTCTGCAGCCCCGGAGTGGATAATTTATGTCCGGTTATGTAACGGCTGTCTGTGCCACTTGGCTGCCTTCTGCCGTGCTACTGGTAGCGCTGTAGTCTGAATGTGTCGGATGTGCTGGTACTCTACACTGCATACTGAGGCTGTGGGCAGGAGGGGTTGTCCCGGCCTGAGTGATGGCCTTTACCTCCTTCTCTAACTCAATGTGTGATAGAGCTCTTTGTGCTTTAATGCCCTCTGTATAAACTCAGGAGGGACTTCGGTTGCTCAAGAGTCTCAACAGGGGGTCAGTGTATTTTTTGGTCATTCAAATTTTTCAAAAAGGGGATTGAGCGAAATACAAAAAAACTGTTTGGATTTAATTTTTTTTATTTCGTATAACAAAACATAGAAGCTTAAAAATATGTAGTCAAATATAGGATTTCCCATACTGTAAAAGAAATCTTCTAAATGTTTAAATGCATACAGCAATACAGAAAGTCTTTGTTTTATATTGGTATTATTGTTTTTTATGTGTAAATATCTTTAATTTAACATTTAGATTAAGATTTTATGTCAAATAAAAGCTAAAAACTGTGTTTTAATCATAGAAAATTACAAAAATACTGTGTTTATTTGGTGCTCCAGCAGCTGAAATATTACTGTTTTTATTTGATGTATTTATTTACTTATATATTTTACAGTTCAGGACTAAAATTTTCTCTGGAACTCTCTGATATGACTTTAGACAAACATTATCTCTAGAAATCTCACTGCGTTCAAATGTGCCGGCATTTGCAAACAGTCAGCTCAAATTACGTCATTATTATTATTGTTATTGTTGTTGTTGTTGTTGTTGTCACTAAACATTAAAGAAATAGAAATAATAATAATATAGAATGTTAAAAATATGTATTATATTACAAAATCAAACAACAATATAAAGTAAAAAAATAAATAAAAACAAAATTGCACATTAACCAGTTAAAGCAGCCATTTTGAAGAGATACACATTTTATATACTTTATAAATGAGATAAAATAAGAGCTTTTAGCAGGAGAACATTTCTTTCTCTTAATTTACTTGCATAAAGACTACAAATGGGGGGAGATGGCTAGCTTAGCTTAGCATAAGCCCATTTCTAGTCATGGGCTAGAAATCGATGTGTAGTTTTTATTTGAGCATTTTCAACATTTTTATTTCCACCTGCCGCTAATGTTTTTATTCCAGGAGTTAAAGGTACAGTGTGTTTAGGATTTAGTGGCATCTAGTGGTGTTGTTCCAGATTGCAACTCCCTCGCAAAGTAGAAACTACAGTTCCCTTTTATCTGCATAAACATTACAATATTATCTGTTATTAACAGAAAACACAAACGTCAGTTGGGGGTGTAAAAAAATATTGGAAAAGTTTGTTTTGTGATATTTTGTTGTTTAATTTTGTATCAATTCTTTAAATAATGTTTTTATTTTTGTGTGAAATCCCTCAGCAGTGCTGTCAACTGGAAACAGATCCTGTTTACAGTATTACAACATTTGGCAGTATATATATAACCACCGTCTCGTATCAGAGTCTTACCAATACATAGCCCAACTTTGCGTCTTATACCCTCTTCCTGCTCTCCTCAGGGAACATCATCGGCTCTGGGATCTTCATCTCTCCAAAGGGGGTCCTGGAGCACTCGGGCTCAGTGGGTTTGGCATTGGTGGTTTGGGTACTGGGAGGTTGCATCGCTGCCTTGGGCTCCCTCTGTTATGCTGAACTGGGCGTCACCATCCCCAAATCTGGAGGAGACTACTCCTACGTCACAGAGATATTCGGAGGGCTGATGGGGTGAGTAAAGAGCCTCCACTGTACTTTTTATGGCGTCAGGAGTTTTAATCAATGTGGTTTTATTACTTAAAATTGCTATAGATATTTGAAAAGTAAACCAGAAAAAATCATCAGATATCAAATGAAATTTTAAAACCATAATTGTATTGAAAACGGGATTAAATAAATCCAACTGTGGACAGAGTGTTTTGACCAGAAATGACGACAAAAGTGTCCGTTCTCTAGAAACATGGCAGTTCAACATGGTGGCCGCCATGGAAAGTGACCCACAGCATCTGTTTTAAAGTAACTGGGCCTTTAATCTTATGTTAACAGACCTTATTTCAGGGATCTAACCAGTGAATCAGAGCACTTAAATGCTAACTCAGTTACATGTTTTAGGACTCACAGGAAGCCTTTTGGATCTACTATTGTCTGTTTTTCAATGTTAGCTCAGCTTTAATGAATATTGTCGGTCGAACAGCATCAATACTTCCACCTCCTCTCTGGGTCACAACTCCCTGTCCATGTGGAAGATTCCTGTTGTTGGAATAAAGTGTTGGGAGAAACATGTTACTGTAATCCCACTACTGTTGGTGGTAACTAAAGTAAAGAATTAGATAATTCAGTTACAATTACTGAAATTGAAATGGGCTCTTTACTCTCGTCTGACCAGAAAATAGTGGCGAATTTATCCCGTTAATTTTCCGGTTTATGATCTAACGACCTTACGGTGGCTCAGACTGTTCAGTCCATTCATCAAATAATTATTGATCAACTAACTACTGTAGCAAAGACAATATGTGTATCTTACAGGTAGGAACGCTACTTGTTGCTGCCCCCTGTTGGTCGGGAGTAATAATAACTTAAAGCTGAGTGCATTAATGAGAGAACTGAAGCAGACATTTTAAAGTAACACAAAAGTTATTTTACTTAGTAACTAGTTACTTTTATATGTGGTAATTGGTAACGTTACTTTTGAGAGAAGTAACTGTAACTAACTCCTATTTTTCAGTAACTTTCCCAACTCTAGAATACCGCTATTTAACTTTTAAAAAGACTTTTCTTCTGATTCTTGATGCCGTGCTTGTTTGTTTGTTAACATGCATTAGCATTTCAATATATATATATAAAATATATAATATATAACTATACTACAATGTGTTGGTAAATATTGTTAGAAGGAGTTCGGTCACTATTTGAAAAGTGTCCTGAGATAAATTCTGTTATGAATTGGCGTAATAAAATAGAATTGAATTGAAATTGAATTGTTAGAAGGAACACGTATCCTTAGTCTAATACGCTAAATGTTAGCATCACGTGACATCGCTGCTTCACACAGTAGCTTGTTCTTGAGCTAATTCTTGTTCATTGCTAATAATGAGTCAAAGTATGTTGTAACACAGTTTTAGGCACCTGGGGGTGAAAATGGATAATCCCCCAAAAACAACATTTCAGGATGTTTTTTGAAGCTCTAACTATTGAATCAGTTTCACTGAATGTCTTTCTCTTATTCAGGTTTCTCCTGTTGTGGAGCGCCGTCCTCATCATGTACCCGACCACACTGGCTGTCATCGCCCTCACGTTCTCCAGCTACGTCCTGCAGCCCGTCTTCCCGAACTGTGTTCCTCCGTACATGGCGACACGGATGCTGTCCGCCACCTGCCTCCGTAAGTCGCTTCAACATCAGTTATAGTTGTGTTACAATATCGTTATTCTCTTCAAAAACCCCGAACTTGTGTATCACGTACATATTTTGTCATGACTTTAATATCCTGTGAAAAAAAATGGCAAACAAGACGCTGCTGGGTCTTCAATTCTACGCTGATGACAGTACTGTCTTTCAGAGGCTGTAGTAAGGTTGGAAAACGAATATATCGCAATCCATAATGAGAAAAACAAGTTGTTTTTCTTTTCCTTTCTTGACATTTGGTGAGTTTATTTTCTTTAATAAAGCTGTTAGTGCTCGTCACACGTAGTGAACTCGTCTCCCAACTGAAGATAATCACAGCCTCATGAAACTGTCCAACTTACAGGCCGAGGGCGTTCAGGGGACGGACGGTTTCCAGTTATGTTGATGCCACTGGTTTCTCAGCATATTCCAGTCGTACAATGCTGTAGGCCAGGCTCAGTTGACATGAATACCTTCACCATCCAAAGCTCCCCTCTTTAAAACTCACTGTGACACCACTTCCCGGGGAGGGAAGGGATGGTGTACTGGAACTCAGAGCGCTTGCATCATTCATGAAGGATGACATGTTGTCTTGTGGTTGCCACTGCTATATCCCTGGACTTTTTCCTCTGTTGCTGATCGTAATCCAGCTCACTCGATCAATCCACTCCTTCGACATGTGTGTCAGAAAGGGAAGTGGTCACATGTAAAATCTGTCTTATGTAAGTTCGGTCTGGATGCTTTTTAAATCCTTTTTTATGGCTGTAGTAAATAATGCATACGACCCTTCAAGAAAGAGGAGAGCAGAGAATGTGTGGGAAACAAAAGCAGGTTGTGAATTCTGTATTTCATCATAAATAATTTGTTATTTTAATGTATTTATATGTATATTTAGCGAAAGACTGACAGTAAATCAGAAAAAAAACTAAATTAATTTACGCTAACTAAACACATTTGAGGCCAGATTATCTTTTCTCAACTTTTACTATTTAGTAAGATAAGATTTAGTTTGTGGACAGCGGCAACATGTACGTTTCTTAAACCTGTAATCTATATAATGTCCATCAGGGGGAGCTCCACTGGCTGCAATAAAAAAGTTAGATAGTATTCAGTCTTATGGAAAAATGAGCCGACTTCTCAGTTGATTTATGAGTTCAGTAAACAGTTTCCTGATGAGTTTCTGGTCTCAGTCTCTAGTTTCAGTCTTCTTCCATACAGCATGATGTTCATTTAGTAACTGATGGTCCCATTTAGAGTAAAACGGACCATAAAGCAGGGTATGCTTTAGGGCGGGGCTTGTGATTGACAGCTCATTCTCAGTGAGTCCATCCAGCGTCATGAATGTCATGATATTATTGGTTGAAATCAGTTAATTCATGCTTACGTTCACTGTTTGTTTTACAGGGAGAGAAAATGATGGATTCTGCTATAAAAACAAACAAAGAAACAGATTTTGTTGTAAATTATTTGGTTAATAGGGGAACAGTATGACTGAGGATGTGATCTTAAAGGGTAAAATGGCTTGTATGTGCAGATATGATGGAGCACCGTTCAGGGTTCTGGGGATGTAAAAAGCAGCAGAGAGCTTCTTCACTCCTCAAAAATTGAAATGTTCCCATCAAAAATTGATTGTATTAAAAAAGAAATGCTGCATGTCGACTGTCGGTACTGGAAGTGTGTGTCTGGATCTCACGCTGTAAAAAAATGGTTATATTCAAGCAGCCGGGCACCAAAAAAGTACTATAAAATAACGTAAAAATATAATAATTTTCTATAATTAAAATACAGTTTTAAGCTTTAATTTTACATAAAATCTTTTCATCATTTATTTAGCGTTTTTGTTCCATAATTATACAAGATATCTGTAAATTAACAAACTAATCCATGTAAAATTACAGTTAATTCTAATTAATTTTACATAATTTTAAAACATATTAACAGTATTAATCTTTAATCTATTAAATAATCAGATTTGCAAATGTATTTTAATCTTTTTATGTGAAATAAAAATAAACTTTCTTTAAATATGCAGAAATTTCATGATTATCTGCAGATTTTTCACATTTTACAGGTTACAGGTTTAGTTTTTTCACAGCACAGTGTTGTCCGGGCCCCCAGCTGACATTACATTAGTCATTGTGGACCTGTCGGGCTGCCTAATTGCTTGGTGCGTTGCCAGAAAGTACCTGCACTAATGAGCTTTAATCAACAAAGCCTCTTTGTCTTATCAGCGAGTAAATAACGGCGGCCTGGAATCGCGTCTGCGAGGTTAAACAGCGGGACTTCAGCGTGTGATTCCTCGCCTCTGATGCCATCATTCACGCTTTTTTTTGGAGCCGGACGCTGAAACGTGAGCTCTGCCCGGCCTCCTCAGGGCAGGAGAGAGAGAGAGTGGGGGGGTCCGGGCTCGCCACGTTTTGTTTGCTCTTTGCAACAGGAAGTGGTTTGTTTTGTGGGGCTGACAGCTCGTCTTTGTGTCGGAGAGCGAGGCCACCATGAGAGAGAGCGGGGCAAAGCCGGTGACAATGATGGACGAGGTGAAACAATCATGCCCTCCCCTCGCTCGCCGGTTTCCCACATTCCTGCCTCCCATGGCAACTGGCTGCTGCCGCCCACCGCCGGCACCGGTTCCCCGATGCAGGGATGGAACTGTACCTGATACATTTGAAGGAGCACTCCACCAATCGTTGTTTTAAAATCAATAGTAATAATACAAGGCCTCTGAAAACTGTCGAATAAAGTCAAAGAAACTTTCAAGAACCTTTGACAAGTCCAACAATATAATACTGATGATGTCATATTGTTGTCGTCCAACCCAGACGTTAGCATCGTCCTGGTTCCCTCGACAAAAAGACAAAGATTTTTCCAAAGGTTTATGATGCAAGTTTTGTTCAGATGAAAGATAATCTCCACTAATTTAAAAAAACTCAATTTTTCAGATTTTTGAAGCGGACATGTCCGCCAGAAGCTAAAAGCTAACTACAGCACGGCCGCATGACTTCAACGTCACCACCACCAAACTAACAACTTGTTTATTAAATTTTATAATTAAAATCTACAAGTTGGAAAGTTTGAGAGCGTGAAGTAGAGTTGCTGTGATACAGATACCGGTATAACCAGTAATACCAGGAAATTCTTCAGATAGTCCCTAAAATGTGCCGAGTAGATGTATCTGGGCACCGATTTGATACCACCTAATTTATTAACCCCCGAAATGTTCTAACATAATAAATGATACGTTAGGATTGACCCAATAAGTGACACAACCCGGGAGTCAGCATCACTCTGGTTCCTTCGACAAAAAGACAATTATTGCAGAAAACAATCTGCGTTTTGTTCAGATTAAAATAATCTCCACTAATATTTCTGAATTTCTGTAGCATAAATCCGTCCGCCAGAAGTTAAAAGCTAACGTTGCGCTATAAACGAACAAAAACACGGTCGCATGACTTCCACTACTCCATCACAAAACTTCCAACTCATTAAAATCTAAAAGATGTAAAGTTTGAGTTAGTTTGCTGCGAGTATAATGACAACAACAACAAGGCTGTAAAGGCGGACGACTGAGTAGATTCTCTGTCTGTGTGTTTCAATGTCACCAACGACCTCTGTAGGCTCATTTAGCCGCTTGTTAGCAACCGACTGGCTTCAACATTCACACATTCACAGGTATTTACTGACATTTTATGTTGTAGAACAAAACGTGAAAATCTCCTCAGCCTTATTTCAGACATCGAACCACAAACCCACTGACTTTGACTCCAAAACATTTAGAAGATGATGAGACAATAAAAGTCTTTTATTAACAATCAAGTGCTAATAAAAGTACAGATGTATTGATACAATATCTGAGCACGAGGTTGGGAACATCTGGTATAAGATATGCTTAACCTTTTCCGGAGCCTGTTTAATTAGTGTTTAGTATGATTTATTCGTATGTTATTGAGTAGAGAGAGTCTAGCATTGACACCAGAACTCTGACAAAAAAAATGGCGTTCAGAACATTTATGCATAATATTAGACTAGAATTATTGATGAATCAGTTCCCAGAATGCTTTTGACTGTGATCCTGTGTGTGTTCGGCTCAGTGCTGCTGACCTGGGTGAACTGCTCCAGCGTTCGAATGGCCACCAGGATCCAGGACGTCTTCACGGTGGGGAAGCTGATGGCTCTGGGTCTCATCATCGTGGTCGGCCTGGTCCAGATCTGCAATGGTAACAGTCTGTGGTCCAAAGCTTTACAGCTCCCTGGAGGACAAAAACAAACTCATATGTGTGGTTTGTCTTCCAGGGAACTACGAGGCGCTGACTCCTCAGGTGGCCTTCTCCATGGAAAGGACGCCGTCGGTCGGGCAGATCGCTCTGGCCTTCCTGCAGGCTTCCTTTGCCTTCAGCGGCTGGAACTTCCTCAACTACGTCACGGAGGAAGTGGTTGAACCCAGACGGTGAATATTTGTGCTTCTCATCATTTTCAACATCATTCATGCAAATGTTCAGCCTCCATCTCAGCTTGTTTTGTTGCTCTGCTGCTTGCATCAGATAGTTGGCGACTTTCTGGGTTTTTCATAGGCAGAGTTTGTCTAAATCAAGTCTTCAACGAATAGTTTGACTCTTTGGAAAATGTTTTGATTTGCTCTCTGGTGGAGAGATTGATAGCACTCTCATATCTGTTTGTTAAATCGGATGCTGGTTAACTTAGCTTGGCTCTGTCCAACAGCAACAAAATCCTCCTTCTGCTTCATTCCACCGGACGCAGCAACGCAGCTCATTTCAGAAGCAGCTCTCAGCTCTGATCTGTGGAGAATATACGGATGGAAGCCGCGACCAACCAACTATTTATTTATTACATTTTTTTTTTTAAAATCAGGTAACGCTGCGTTTCACCGGTCGCCTGTCGATGGCGTCATATCCCCTTTGTGCCTGCGTCAGCGTTGTGGTTGTCTGTCAGAAGCTGTCATACATTGACTGTTGATGCAGTCTGAAGCCACATTGTTACCATCCACTGTTTAGATCTTGGTGCTTTTTAACTCTAGATTTGAACCGGATGAAGGATTTTAGTCATCGGACGTCTGGATCTTAAGTTATCAGAGAAACAAGCTGAGCTAACGTTAGCAGCAGCTCGGCTCGCAGCCCCCTCCGGGACGTCCTTTGTCTGTCCAACAGCGTGGGAGAAGCAGTGATTGTTAAGGTGGAACTGTTTATTCAGTGGGTTTAGGTGGAACTGTTTATTCAGTGTGTTTAAGGTGGAACTGCTTTATTCAGTGTGTTTAGTGGTTTTAATCAGCGGGTCTGTTTGTGTTGGAGAGGAGGAGACCTCTGTGGATCATTGGGCTCCCGGTAGAAACCTCCTGAACCATGAACACTGAAGGAATCCTAACCGGGAGAAGCTGACTGCAATGACGCCAATGGTGGTGAAGACAACAACTCCCATGATCCCACGCTGCTTCACCACCTCATCAAGTTTTGTTGTTGTTTTATTGTGAGAGTTTGTCTCGCTGGTTGCCAGTTTCTACTTTATATGATTGAGAAGCTGTTTCCTTATGTGCTTTTTTCTCTTTAATTTCTCGTGTCTTTCATGCATGTTGAATTGATTTTTGTTTTTGACTGTTATCATCTGTGCATGGTGTGTGTGGCCTCGGTCAGGAATCTACCTCGTGCCATCTACATCTCCATACCATTGGTGACCTTTGTGTACACGCTCACCAACATCGCCTACTTCTCCTCCATGTCGCCCGAGGAGCTGCTGTCATCCAATGCCGTGGCCGTAGTGAGTAATGTGGCTCCAGTGACGATCGGTGGCTCAATTATGATTAATCTTTTAGGCCTTTAGCTCAGAATACATTTCTAGATCAGGAATAATAAAGGCAACAAATAGGAGGTCAAAGGTTATAACACCATCTTTTCTGCAGTTACAAGTTACAGCAAATTACCTGATGAAGAATGTTTTAAACTTACGTAACTGAGTTAGTTTTACCTAAAATGTTCGATGTCTTAAGTTTCAACAATTTGTTTTGTTGAATTAACTCTGGTTTTACAGTGTAATCTAAACTTTAAAAATAACAGTTTCTTCAAATAAATGATTAATATGCTGAGAAATAGGCCTATTGTGTATATTTCTTTCTAAGTTTCCTAGTCCGCCTTAAAATCAAGAAGGCTTTGCGACCCCCATGAAACTTTGGCGACCCTTAGTGGCGGTCACGACCCGACAGGTTTGAACGAAAACAACCAATCAGAGCCAAATTAACTCTGGTTAATTTGGATTCAACAGTCAACAATAAATAATCTAGGAATAAACCTGCCTCCTGTGTGAACTGTGTGTAGTTGAACAGTGTCGGCCTACGTTGCTGTATTTTAATTTTGGCCATGATGATGAAGAGCCTGATATTTTCTGAGGTGGAACACGGTCTAGAAAGTATGATATATAGTTTGGAGAATGGGGTTTTATTTACAAAATGTGAGTGAAGAGTTGTGTAACTGTATCTCAATGTGTGTTTGATCAGGAGTGAGATACAGTTACACAACTCTCCACTCTCATTTTATAAACAGTTATGCTAAATAATGGCTCCATATTTGAGAAGCACCGGCTCTAGATCACCTTGTTTCTTGACGTGGAAAGAATCGTCAGGTAGAAAAATGTTCAGATTAAACACACCTGTACACGTCAGTGAGTCTGTCTGTTGTTCTGCTGTTCAGACATTTGGAGAGAAGCTGCTGGGAATGTTCTCCGTCATCATGCCAATCTCCGTGGCTCTGTCCACGTTTGGAGGGATCAACGGCTACCTGTTCACCTCCTCCAGGTGAGACCTGCCGCTCTGCTCGCTGCTGCGCGCTTTCTGACACAGCTTTAGTTTGTCTGCTGCTGACGTGCTGATGTTTCTGCCTGTAGGTTGTGTTTCTCTGGAGCCAGAGAGGGTCACCTGCCCAGCCTGCTGGCCATGATCCACTATAAGAACTGCACCCCCATCCCTGCCCTGCTGGTCTGCGTACGTACACATTGATGTGGATCTCTGTTGTTTTGCTTCTGTTAGATGATCCATCTGTGTATATTTTTATATATTTTTAGGTATTTATAATGTTTTCTGGTCTTTCTCATGCTTGTGAACATGATATCTCAGAAACACCTCGAGGGAATTTCTCCAGATTTCACACAAATGTCCACTTAGACTTGGTAGTCAAAGATCACTGCTGAAGAACTGATGACCATATTTCACTATTGGTTAGAGAAATAAATGGTGAAACTTTTTGTCTCAAAGGTCGTCAAAATAACCTTGACAAAAAGTTCACAACTGAACTCAAAAACCCCAAAAGCTGGTTACCTTAGCTTAGCACAAACACTGGAAAGATGGGAAAGAACATGTCTGTCTCTCTCTAAACCAAATGTGTGAACCATCTCATCCATTCTGCCTTTCACATCCTGCCTCATTCTGAATTTCACATTACTGCAAGCAACCTTTTGGAGTGCGTCAAGCTAATGTTGATCCTGTGAGTTTCACCTACAGCTCCTAGAGAAGTTGACAACCACAGTCTGAGTGACATATAATCAGATCTTACGTTAGCTAATGCTAGAAAATCGCTAGCTTTTTGATGATTGAAAAAGTAGTTACTAAGGCTTGCTCAACTGTAATTGGAGCACAGTGCAAACAGGGGCGGTGTTTCTTATCTTATTTGACAAAATTGATGGCGTGCCCCTTTAACATTCATCATCTTTGTTATGTTGCTGTGTTTTCCAGTGCGCTGCCACCATCGTTATACTCTGCATCGGAGAAACACACAATCTGATCAACTACGTCTCCTTCATCAACTATCTGTCGTACGGCGTCACCATCGCAGGCCTGCTGTATTACCGCTGGAAGAAACCCAACCTGTACCGACCCATCAAGGTACCAACACTTCTGTTTACCGGTGGTGGATTTAGTCAAGCAGTACAAATCTGAGATATTTGTACTTTTCATTCCTGATTCTACTTTTTACCTTAAAAAAACATACAAAGAGCGAATAAAATCTCATTGTTCTGTTATAAATTACACTACCCAACAGTTTATACAAGTACAGCTAAAACATCAGTCAGTTAATCAGTTAGTCAATTGATGGACATTGATTGGAGACTGATAATTGTTTAAGTTATATTTTATCCTTATTCTTCTTTGAGAAGTCACTTTGGATAATTGTGACGTCATTTCTCACAATTTTCAGAATTTTTACAAACCAAACAATAAATCCATTAATGGAGAAAATACTCATCAGCATTTTTATAGCCAAACTCTCAGTTCAGATTTTTGTCCACATGAGTACCCTTACTTCTTATTGCATGGTGAGCATGGCCATCCCCACCACTGAGGTCACTGAAGTCAGGACTTTGCTATTTTTTCAGAAAATAAAATTCGTAAAAAGAATTGCCTAAAAAAATAATACTTTAACCAAAACCCCCTAGCAAGTTTAGTTTTTGGACCTTGGTATATCTAAAACCCTGCGTACCGCAGTGCTGGGGAGGTACTTTTAAAAGCCTGGTAACTGCGTGTAAAGCTAGCTAGCTTAATGCTAATAAAACAGCTTAACGCTAAGAAAACAGCTTAATGCTAATAAAACAGCTTAATGCTAAGAAAACAGCTTAATGCTAATAAAACAGCTTAATGCTAATAAAACAGCTTAACGCTAAGAAAACAGCTTAATGCTAATAAAACAGCTTAATGCTACGAAAACAGCTTAATGCTAATAAAACAGCTTAACATTAAGAAAACAGCTTAACGCTAAGAAAACAGCTTAATGCTAATAAAACAGCTTAATGCTAATAAAACAGCTTAACACTAATAAAACAGCACTGAAACGTTTTTTTTTTTAACGGATTAAAGGGTTATTCTCAATTAGGGTACTGCCATATTTTTGGTCCATTTCACTCCCTTTCAAAAGTAATTAATTACACTACTACTTATATTACTTTTCTGCTACTCCACACAAAATTGGTAATTGTGCCCTTCCTCTCCAAAAGGTGATTTAAAATCCAGTTTTGTTTGTTAAAATCAAAGCAATGGAATATTTCCAGCTGCTGAGTGTACGAGTTTCCATCTTCTAGTTTAATTAGATTTATTAGTAATTAGTTACACTACTAATTACTGGGGAAAAGTAATAACATTACTTTGTCCATAAGTCATGAATTATTAATCGACTCGCTTTCTTCAGGTGAACCTGTTGGTTCCTGTTTGCTACCTGATGTTCTGGGCGCTGCTGCTGGGTTTCAGTCTTTACTCGGAGCCGGTGGTTTGCGGCGTTGGTTTGGTCATCATGCTCACCGGCGTACCCGTCTACTTCCTGGGCGTCCACTGGAAAGAAAAACCAAAGTGCATCTACACCTTCATTGGTGAGTTTAGTTAAAGGAGGTCTGATTAAAGGTCTGTTACAGCTGATATTTAACTCTCGGCTCGTGTTTTCCCCGCAGAGAGGGCGACGTACGTGGGCCAGAGGTTGTGTTTCGTGGTCTTTCCTCAGTTTGACCCCATCGAGATCGCCACTCCGTCAGAATGGACTGACCGGTCTTCAGGCAGGAGCAGTTTGTCTGCCAATTCTTAAAACTTTTTTTCTGAATATATGCAGATCTTTGTTTTTACTCCGTCACTGTGTAAGTCCAGACACCTCCTCCTGGTTTTGGGAGCTTCCTGTCTGACCTTTGACCCTCAGAGACTCTGGTTTCCCTACAGTCGACTGGAAACGCCTGTTCTTCTGCGCAGGCTGCTTGCACTTTTTATTTTCTTCTCTTTTCAACTAAGTCTTCTAGTACAGCAACCTAATGCCACCAGTGTCACTGTGAAAAGGACTTTTATTCCCATGTTGGACCCATTTTTGTTTCTTTTTCTGTAACATGACGAACTCTGACCGACTGACGGTTGTTTCTTCTGATTGTTGCTGGTGTTCGTGCCTTAAGGCCTTTTCACACCAAGTCCCAAACAAATCTATAGTCAGTATTCAAGAAAAATGTACAAATTATTTTAGAGAAGATCTGCTTTCATGTATTTTTATTCTTCTTTCCTGCTGACTCACTGCTTTTTTTCCTCCTAATATTTTGGTTTTCATCAATCTCGTATCCTGGTGTATCGGAAAAAAGGGCTTTATGAGAGCTGTAGTTTCGTTATTTGATTCTAACAAGTAAGTTGTTGCTAACTTTGGGTTTGAATTCTAATACAAACTGGTACTGATTTATCTTATGGACTACAAACAGAACACGTTTCACTTTTTCAGAAACCAGTAAAAGTTACTCTCAATGAGAGATTGCATTGAGTCTCAGAAGCTAGCGGAGCCGACCTGATGTTACATAAAGACTTCACGTTGTTGGTAATTCTCCTCCATAAGGCAGGTTTACTGAGTTATCCAGTTAACCTGATGCAAAAACACGTCCTGTACCTACTGATTTTAAAGGTTGCAAACACAGGTGTTACCAGTGACAGTATTTAAGGTTCCCAGAGCCTTTTTCCAGTGAGAAAACACGCACAGTAACAACAATCTGACTCTGTTTGACCTGGAACGAAACCTCAAGTTGAATAATTCAAAACACATGAGTTTACCCTACTGTAATGTCATATCAGAGTGACTGCTGTGAAACCGGTCTATTGTGAATTGCAGCGCTCTCTGCTGGATAAACTGATGTACCGCTCGGGCTTTAATGTGAAACTGTATAATTAGACTTTAAACTCACATGAACAACGTACGTATTAAAATGCACCACAACAACAATATGAATTCATTTTTTTAAATTCTGGTGGAAAAGTCAGACTTGGTGTGAAAAGGCTTTTACTGAGGGAAAATGTATATTCAAATTTTTTATTAACCAATTTAATATATTGTGCATGTGCCTTTGTGTATTGCATTTGATTGTTTGAGACGCACTTTGGTCTTCCATCGTCTGTTATCTCGCCGTTCAGTACGAACTCCAGATGAAACTGGACTCTTAATCTGTTGTTAACAAAGTAGTTTTACCTGCTGCTGCTCCCTCACATCAACCCACATCACTCTGACTTACACTGTGACTGCACAATGTAATGGGATCAGTTATTTTAACTCAGAAAAAATGTTCGAGACTAAGTACTTTTGGGTAATTTAATAAAAATTACTAAATTAAGTCACTTAAAATTACAAAAAGCTACGTGATCGAGGATGTTTTTTTAAATTTATAAGATTAAGTTTGTTTTGTTTGAACATTTCTTTTGAGTTAAATTAAGATTTTAATGCTGTTGTGGCAGCTTTTGTTTATCAAGCAATGAGAATTCAATGTGTGACAGAGACAAAACTGGCACTTTTTTACAAATATTGTCCATTAACTTCTTCTTGGTAGGAAATCAATAAATCAGTAACTTTGCTGCAGTTGACTATAAAATGATACAAACCCAATTTTCAATAACCTCCAGGAGTCGGCAGACAAAAAACATTATAATTATTATCACTAACTTATCATTTAGTGATTATTATATTCCCCAGTAGTAGAAATGTGTAGCCATTAGACACAGAATTAAAAAAGTATTTTTCATTAACTAAAATGTGGGTCATACGTTACGTCCTGACCTGAATTCAATCGTGCTCACTGGGATGTTTGATCTGCGACATGTTAGCATAAGAGGAAGCATACTGGTGATATTTGTAAAAAAGGCTAATCCCACTTTTAGTCGTTTCATTTTTCTTTTTTTTACATTAAATCTGTTTAAACTGATTCCATGTTTATGACTATAAGGATGCTCGCAGGCTAACTGCCTCAAGCTGTGTACCGTATGTGTGACATCCTACAAGAAATATATATTTACCCCATCAGACATCAAAATAAATAAAACGTTAGCCAAATATCCAACTAACCACTGATGTAAATTGGCTATCCAGTTAGCTAACGTTTAATTAGTTAGTTAACAATTGATGTAGATTAGCTAGCTACTTAGTTAGCGGCTTTCTTGTACTTATATATGCTACGTGCTCGGCTGTTGAAAAGTCAAAAGTGACATATAAATAGTCACATCTTAAGTTATTTAATGTTAGCAAAACGGTAGCTAATAAGCTATCTAACGATTTAAGTAAAATTAGCTAACATTAGCTAGCATTAGTTAACGTAAGATGTGACTATATATATATATATCATATCTTTTAACCATCTTCAAAATGTGGTTGTCTTTTCAACATAGGTTAGCTTAGCATATAGCATATATAAGTACAAGAAAGCAGTAGCTAGCTAATCTACAGTTGTTGACTAATCTAATGTTAGCAAAACGCTAACTAGATAGCCAATTTACATCAGTGGTTAGCTGGATATTCTGATAGCGTTTTAGTAACATTAGATTAATTTAAGATGTGACAACGTAAAACTTCTAATAATAGCCTGGGCGTTTATTTGCTTAAACCACTGAACTCCCCCTGCCTCTATTTGGGACAGGCCTCTATTTGGGACAGGCCTTTATTTGGGACAGGCCTCTATTTGGGACAGGCCTTTATTTGGGACAGGCCTTTATTTGGGACAGGCCTCTATTTGGGACAGGCCTTTATTTGGGACAGGCCTCTATTTGGGACAGGCCTTTATTTGGGACAGGCCTCTATTTGGGACAGGCCTCTATTTTGGGACAGGCCTTTATTTGGGACAGGCCTCTATTTGGGACAGGCCTTTATTTGGGACAGGTGTTTAATTCCTTTAGTAAAAAACTAAACTAAACTCTAACTGCTGCTTCTCTTGAGATTTCTTCAGCAGATTTGACAACTAACATGATGATTATGATGCTTTAGAGGTTTTTTTCCGTCTCTCTTGTTCACCGTGTTACCGAATGAATTAACGTTTTACTTTGTTTTTGTTAGTTTTCGTAAATTATAGTGAACGATTGAATTGTGGAGAATCTAACTGATCTGCATGATGTGTAACATGTACGTATTGACAGAAGTAGGAGATCGAAACGACTTAAAACTCGCTCAAGCGGGCGACCCGGTGGGTTTTAAGAGGTTTTAAATATCAAGATAATTTCTATAAAATCCAGACCAGGCCTCTATTGGAGACCTGCGTTTATTTGTCAAAACGTGTAGCCACACCAGGCTTTTAAACAAGACCTGCATCTATTAGAGACTCTGCTTTTATTGGAAGTTTTACGGTATATATCTCTATATATGTCCCTTTTATCTTTGAACCATCTTCAGAATGTGGTTGTCTTTTCAACATAGGTTAGCTTAGCATATAGCATATCTAAGTACAGGAAAGGAGGAAGTTGATCGAGTGGCGAGACTTACAAAGGATCAATTAAATTTCACAGAGAGATTTAAAATATCTTTATAAAGATAGACATATATATAAACAGTATATATATCAACTCTTTTATTTTGTACATTCTGGGTTTTCTGTACACTTTCCTTTATACACATTCTTTGAATTAGTATGCAGTGTTGAATCGGGACACAGCACACGTTTATAACTGTTTACATATCTCTTGTTTTCTGTTTCACCTGCTTCTGCTTTAATGTAGAGACCATCTGATTCTGAAAGTGTTTCTGTACTTTAACATTTTATCTTACAACCTCCAACAGAAGGTGGTTCCCGTCACACAAAGCCCAAAACAAATCAATTTAATTCAGATTTACAGCAAACCCACTCGCCTTTTACCGTTATTGTTATTATTGTTTTGTAACAGAAGTCTTTAATCGCCTTACGTAGACACATCAGTATTTCTGTAGACTAGATAATAACATGTAAAAAGTTCAGGAGATCAGGAGAACCACAGCACAGGATCACAGACACTTTCACACTGTAAATTATTTGTAAAGCATCCGATGTTTACAATGGGATCGTTACACGGAAACGTTAACTTGGAGCTATTTTAGAGCAATTTTTGTAAAAATGAGTAAATAACTATAGAGCACAATAAATCCAGAATGAATTGGAGCGAGACTGATGTGGTTTATCCTTCTGAAGAACTTGTTCTGTTCTGTATGTCACAGTTCTATGTGGTGCTGTAACATAAACATAAGAGATAATAAGAGAGCTGATAATTACAAAAAGGGGCGAAAAATAAGATAAATCAAACAAATATTACATTTTTCACATAATTTTACATTTATAGTCGATTTTAGTAATTGTATTAATATTTCCATGTATTTAAAAACTTAAAATCTGTAAAATAAACAGGAAATACCCTGTTAATTTACAGATCTTTAACAGTGTATTTTTAATGAATGTGAGTGACTCAAACATTAACTTACTGCTTTTATTAAGATATGTTGTTAGAAATTAATAAGTAGATCATTCACAGTGTAGTATCACATCATTGGCTTCTAATCAGAGAATAGATGTTTAATTATCTTAATTTTACAACGTTCACGTTTATTTACAAAATAAAGTTTATCTTTTATAACTTTATTTACAACACAGACAACATAGACAATGAACAGGGGACAGACAGAAATCATAATCATCAGTTATACAAAGTAAATAAACCTTTCCTTTCTTATATTTACAGTATGGGAGTAAAATATTGATTTCAGTTTCAAAATAAAATATATTTAACTGATTTATTTTGGTAGAAAAGTGAAAACAAACTTTACATTTTCATATAAAAGCACAAAAATCTTTCAAAAAAAAAAAAAAAAAAGAAAAACACAAAAAAATAATCGATAGAAATCTTCTGCAGAGTGCTGATCGACATATTAGTGATCGATAACGTCACGATGACGTGGAGGCCTAAACAGGAAGTTTAAACAGCACGCTTCAATCTTTCCCCCACGTGACCGCGCGTTACAGCTGCTGTCGTCAGTGGACAACATAAATGCCGGTGAGTTGATTTCATTTTACCAATATATCGATTACCCTCTGCACAGACATAAGTGTTAATGTTTGTTTCAGCTTCCGGTGGAACGGCGCTGATTGAGCAGCTACAACGTTAGCTTAGCATTGCGCTGATCGATTTGTTCCGCCAAACCGCGTTTAGAAAAGTCTCAGTTTAAACGTTGCTCGGTTGTCGGTAACCGTACAGACCTGATAGAGCTTTAATTTAACGTTACTACAAATCTTTATCCCTCTTTGGATAGTTCGGCATTGTTTTGATTTGCTAATTATGATTAAAACTTTAATAAAATCTTAATTTATTTGTAGCTCTGAACGCTGGAGGCGGCTTTAATTTACCGACCCGTGGGAGTAGTTAGATATGAAAGCTGCATTAAAAGCGAATATTATCGGTTATATGTGGGACAATGGAGGTTTTAATCAACGCCGGATTGAAGATTATAAAATACAATTTCAGATAAATTCTTCATTTATCGGTATTTTACTGGGCTTTAGGGCTCAATCAGAAACCGCGTTAAATCAACAGATTTTTGACAGGAGTTCGGCGGGATAGTTCTGCGCAAGAAAACGAACCAATAACGGTAGATAATATTAAAACCCGGCTCTTATAGAGACTGCTGTCTGCCCACAGGACCACTGAGCCGCCATGATGGCAGCAAACAGGCTGAGCTTCAGAAACATCACCGCCCTGGCTCCCATGGTCCGGGTGGGGACTCTGCCCATGAGGCTGCTGGCTCTGGACTATGGAGCTGATGTGGTTTACTGTGAGGTGAGGATGGAGGCTGTGACAGACGGAGGTGGTGTCTGAGGGGTTCAATCAGGGCTGTTAACTCTGGGCTCTGTCTGAGGGGTTCAATCAGGGCTGTTAACTCTGGGCTCTGTCTGAGGGGTTCAATCAGGGCTGTTAACTCTGGGCTCTGTCTGAGGGGTTCAATCAGGGCTGTTAACTCTGGGCTCTGTCTGAGGGGTTCAATCAGGGCTGTTAACTCTGGGCTCTGTCTGAGGGGTTCAATCAGGGCTGTTAACTCTGGGCTCTGTCTGAGGGGTTCAATCAGGGCTGTTAACTCTGGGCTCTGTCTGAGGGGTTCAATCAGGGCTGTTAACTCTGGGCTCTGTCTGAGGGGTTCAATCAGGGCTGTTAACTCTGGGCTCTGTCTGAGGGGTTCAATCAGGGCTGTTAACTCTGGGGTGCTCTGTCTGAGGGGTTCAATCAGGGCTGTTAACTCTGGGCTCTGTGGGTTCAATCAGGAGCTGTTAACTCTGGGCTCTGTCTAGGGGTTCAATAAATGGCCCAGTGGGTCAGGGCTGTTAACTCTGGGCTCTGTCTGAGGGGTTCAATCAGGGCTGTTAACTCTGGGCTCTGTGTTTCAGGAGCTGATCGACATTAAAATGGCCCAGTGTCAGCGGGTGGTGAACGGTAAGGAAACCCTCACGGCCCCTCGCAGCTGGTGACTCACCAATCTCAGAGACCTTTCATAGTGTGTGTGTGTGTGTGTGTGTGTGTGTGTTGTTTATTTATTGTGTGTGTGTGTGTGGGTGTGTTTATTTATGTTGTGTGTGTCTGTGTGTGTCTGTGTGTGTTTATTTGTGTGTGTGTGTGTCTGTGTGTGTGTTTATTTGTTGTGTGTGTGTGTGTGTCTGTGTGTGTGTTTATTTATTGTGTGTGTGTGTGTGTGTGTGTCTGTGTGTGTCTGTCTGTCTGTGTCTGTGTCTGTCTGTGTGTCTGTGTGTTTATTTATTGTGTGTGTGTGTGTGTGTGTTTATTTATTGTCTTGTGTGTGTGTGTGTTTATTTATTGTCTGTGTGTGTGTGTGTTTATTTATTGTGTTATGTGATTGTGTGTGTTTATTTATTGTGTGTGTGTTTATTTATCTGTGTGTGTGTGTGTGTGTGTGTTTATTTATTTACTGTGTGTGTTTATTTACTGTGTGTGTTTATTTACTGTGTGTGTTTATTTATTGTGTGTGTTTATTTACTGTGTGTTTATTGACTGTGTGTGTTTATTTACTGTGTGTGTGTGTGTTATGTGTCTGTGTGTGTGTTTATTTACTGTGTGTTTTGTTTACTGTTTATGTTAGTGTGTGTGTTTATTTACTGTGTGTGTTTGTTTACTGTGTGTGTGTGTGTTTATTGACTGTGTGTGTGTGTGTGTGTTTATTGACTGTGTGTGTGTGTGTGTTTATTTACTGTGTGTGTGTGTTTGTTTACTGTGTGTGTGGGTTTATTGACTGTGTGTGTGTGTGTGTGTGTGTGTTTATTGACTGTGTGTTTATTTACTGTGTGTGTTTATTGACTGTGTGTGTTTATTTACTGTGTGTGTTTGTTTACTGTGTGTTTGTTTACTGTGTGTTGCTCAGAGGTGCTGGAGACGGTGGATTTTGTCGCTCCGGATGATCGAGTGATGTTCAGGACCTGCGAGAGGGAGAAGGACAGAGTCGTCTTCCAGATGGTGAGACAGGAAACATCTGCAGCAGTCAGACAGTAGGCCGACCTCTGACCTCTGACCTCTGACCTTCCTCCTCCTCTGTTTTTAGGGAACAGCTGATCCCGACAGAGCGCTGACGGTGGCCCGGCTCGTGTGAGTCCACAGCGGTCCTTTAATCGCAGACACTGGGACAAACATTAAATATTTAAAATAACGTTCTGCAGTGTTCCTGTATTTTCCCATCATGCATTGTTCAAGGCGAGTTAATGTTTGTCACACAGGGAGAAGGACGTGGCGGCTGTCGATGTGAATATGGGCTGTCCTAAAGAATACTCCACTAAGGTGAGTTTCCTGTCAGTAACCCAACCTGCTGCTGCTCTGACCTTTGACCCCTGGCTGACCTTTGACCTCTGTCTGACCTCTTGCAGGGCGGGATGGGAGCTGCTCTTCTGTCGGACCCCGACAAGATCGAGGCGGTGAGTATTTCAGCCGAACGACGGCGCGAAGAAAATAACCTGAACTTCAACCTGTCAGATGTCATTGATTACAGAAAACAGCTGATTATTGATTATTGATTATTGATTATGTGAAACCACGTTTACCTGTAGATCCTCAAGAAGCTGGTCACAGGAGTTTCCATACCGGTCACCTGTAAAATCCGAATCCTGCCTTCGGTGAGTGTCGTCGTTGTTACATCGGAGGCAGATTGATCCTGATCAGGTTGTCTGACGGTATCATAGATTGATTGATGCTTTAATAATGGGAGTATTGATCACTGACGCTGGTTTCAGTTGGAGGAGACGATCAGTCTGGTCCAGAGGATCGAGAATACCGGCGTCGCCGCGGTCGCTGTGCACGGCAGGTAAGCTGCGTCCGTAACACGCCGACATCCTTTAACCAGGAGCTCAGAGACGGCGTGGAGGTGAAATATAACGTGTCACCGATTATAAATATGGAAATCAATAATGTTACACGCCGTATACTTTAACGAACTCCTCGTAGACGGTTGGTCGGATCCACTTCAGATTTTCTGAGTGCGACTTAAACACGTTCACGGTGAAAGGTTTTCAAAAGCTTGAGTTTTCATTGGACGCTGTGCGTTTTTTTTTTTTTTACTATTTTACATAACATTTCCTGATAAATGTAATAAATGAATGACAGGCAGTATAAGTTACAATAAAAATAAACAAACAAACAAACAAAAAAAAATGCAATAAAGTGGTGTATATAATTAATACATAAAAATAAAGTATGAAAATAGATTAAATAAGTAAATATGAAGCAAAATAGAAATAAGTGTGTATAAGATAAATGAAAATAGAATAGTTCTAATATTAATAATAGTAACAATAACAACAACAACAGGCAGAGGAGTAAATATCTATTTCATTTCTTTAAATGACAAATCATTTAAAGTATTTTCTGTGCTGTATGTAATGAACTTTTTTGGGGGCTCGTCATGCCCTCATGCTGCTTTTTACATCAGTGTTATAATGTCTGACTGTCAGCCTGCTTCATTAATGCAGCGCGATGTGTTCACTTGCAACCTTTCCGTGTTGTTCAGGTTGAAGGACGAGCGGCCCAGACACCCCGTCCACTGCGACTACATCCGGGCCGTCGCTCGGGCCGTTTCCATCCCCGTCATCGCCAAGTAAGTCGGCTCCTTCCTCATCTCCGGTGAACTCAACCGGCGGTTCATCCATCAGTTCTTCACCTTTTATTCTCTCCGTCTTCAGCTGCTTCAACTGTCTCCTTAAATCTAACGTTAACAAGGACAGTGACAGTTAAACGTTACAGACGTGTTTTGTTCTGATTTTTTTCTGACTGTGAGATTATTACCTGAAGCAGTTTCAGCAGTTGGTTAATCAGTGTGCGTCCCTCCTGCAGTGGGGGCTCTCTGGATCTGGTGAAGACCAACGCCGACATTGAGGTGTTCAGGAAGGCGGCGGGCGCCTCGTCGGTCATGTTGGCCCGCGCCGCCATGTGGAACGTGTCGGTGTTCAGCAGCCGGGGTCCACTTCCTGTGGAGAGCGTGATGGAGGAATACCTCAAATACGTGAGTCTCTCTTCGGTTCTTTTATTAGAGGTGCTTCTGTCGCCGTGCAGCGGCGGTTTGTGGATAACACAACCGGCGGTCTTGTGTTTTGCAGGCGATCCGGTACGACAACCACGCCTTCAACACCAAGTACTGCTTGTGTCAGATGCTCAGAGACAAGGTGGAGTCTCCTCTGGGGAAGCAGCTGCAGGCGGCTCAGACCAACACGGAGATCAGGTCCGTGGCTTTCTAACACGGTACGCCCTGCTGGTGTCTGTGTCTGGTGTCTGTGTGATGTAACGGCGGTGTTGTGTTGCAGCGAGGCGTACGGGCTGCAGGAGCTGTACCGGCAGACCCAGGAGCGGCTGCAGGCCAGGAGGGACGCCCTGCAGAGCGGAGGCCAGGAGGAGCAACTTGTGATGGACGGAGACGTCACCACCATGGCGGTCAAGTTTGAGCGGTCGGTTATCTTCAAGATTATAAACTGGTCTTACATTATATTCTGTAGGATGTGTTTCTGTCTGTGTAACTTTTACCACGAGGTCTCAGAACCGCTGCTCAGTATCTCCGTTACTGGCACAAACGCCTCTTTGTAGGCGTGTTCTCTCAGCGTGGAGAGGTCTGATGATCTCGATGTGTGTTTGTGGATTTAGGAGAGAATATCCACCTCACATCACTCCAAAGATGTTCCTGCTGGAGTGGAGCCGCAAGGAGAAAGTGGAGCAGCCGCTTTACCAGACGGTAAGAAACCGAACTGACGGCAGTCCCACTGTGGGAAACAGTTGTACGTTCGTTAGGGTTGCGTTAATTATGATCAGTTTTCCTGAGAAATATTTGTTGTATTTTATCTCCCTGTTAACATTTAGGTGCGACAGTTGGTACACTGCAAAAACTATTATTATTATTATTATTATTATTGTCAACTATTGTTAAATATAATCAAATTTTCTTGTATTGACCAATACAACTCGAATTCTTAAAGTCAGACGCTGACTGTAACGTAACTTTAAAAGCAGAAAGAAATACCACAAACTGAAGTTTTTTTTTTTTTTTTATATTACAAGTAATGGAAACTGTTATTTAAGTATTTCCGTCACTTTATTGAGCTGAATTTAAGAATTTGTACTTTTTCTTTTAATCGAAGATTAATAATTAGAACATTACTTCTGACAATAAGACAAAATGTCGTCGACAACTTTCTCTTAAACTGAAAAGTTGTTAGTGCTCTTATTCTGAAAATAAGGACACTAATCTGGTTCCTCTGCTGGAATATTATGCAACCAGTGTTGTTACTGGTTCAATCAACCTCAATATTATCTGTAATATCCGACACAGTTGGATATATTTTATTAAAACCAGATTATAATGAAAAACATGTTTGATAAGAGAATTTTTCTCTTTAGACAAATGTTAAGACTAATTAATCTCTTGACGCTGAAAAAAATAAGTCAAATGACCTCCTGGATAAAGAATTCTTTATAAAGAGTGTGAACCCTGAACGCCTCAGGGTCTGTTGAGATCTGCTGTGAACTGTGTGTGTGTGTGTGTGTGTGTGTGTGTGTGTGTGTGTTTTGTGTTCAGGTGCAACGCGCTCAGGATCGAGGCTTTCAGTCCATCGTTACTGTAGCAAAGAAACAGTACAGATCCTCACTGTGGTCAGTACACACACACTCTCACACACACACTCTCTCAAAACACACACACACTCTCAACACACACACACACACACTCTCTCAACACGCACACACACACACTCTCTCAACACACACACACACACACACACTCTCTCAACACACACACACACACACACACACTCTCAACACACACACACACACACACACACTCTCACACACACACACACACACACACACACACTCTCTCAACACACACACACACACACACACACACACACTCTCTCAACACACACACACTACACACACACTCTCTCAACACACACACACACACACTCTCTCAACACACACACACACACACACACACACTCTCTCAACACACACACACACACACACTCTCTCAACACACACACACACACACACACACTCTCTCAACACACACACACACACACACACACACACACACACACTCTCTCTCAACACAAACACACACACACTCTCTCAACACACACACACACACTCTCTACACACACACACACACACACTCTCTCAACACACACACACACACACACTCTCTCTCACACACACACACACACACACACACACACACACATTCTCTCACACACACACACACACACACACACACACACACACACTCTCTCAACACACACACACACACACACACACACTCTCTCAACACACACACACGTTTTAAACTTTCCCGCCGTTTTCAGGGAGAAGTCGAAGAAATTTGCCGAACAAGCGGCCGCCATCGTCTGCCTGCGAGTCCTGGGCGTACCGGAGGGTCGTATCGGGGAGGAAGACTCCGGCCTGGTCTGCAAGAGGAAGAGGGAGGGGAAGACCAACGGCGCCGTGGAGGAAGAGGGGAGCAAGAAACGACACGTAATCGACCTCCAACGGGAGGCGGAGAGCGCGGCGAAGGGCGACCAGCACAGAGCGGAACAACCAGTCGGCGAACAGGAACTGTGATCAGTCGTTTTTATTTTGTTTCTCTGAAACAGAAACTTTCTGTTTTCTAATAATCCTGAAAACTTCCAGGATTTATTCTCAAACTTCTTCAGATGTTTTCAGACTTTATTTTTTACTTTAATCTCCTCCGTAGAACCGGTTCTGTAACCCGTTCAGTCTTCCACTGGGTCAAAGTCTCCATTGTTTGTCCCTAACATCTGTATCTCAGCCAGCAGGGGGCGCTGCTGCACCTTCACATTAACTTCTTTTATTTTAACCTCGGTGCCTTACAGAAGAAACCTTTCTGTTTTTTTTTCCTGGGCCTTAAACTCATCACGTGTGAGTTCACTGTCTCACACACACACACACACACACACACACACACACACCGGTTCTCCTTCGTAAACAGTTCTCACCTGAACGATCTTCCAGACCCTCCTGATACGTTAAAGGAACTTTTTGATTTCTTTATTTTCTACAGACTCACTCTGATAACAGATGCAGTGTTTGTTGTCGGCGCTCATGTCTCAACAGAAACTGCCAAACTGTTGCATTCAGGGTCCCTACGTTAAGGACAGTGAACGCATCGGGATACAGTAACAGCTGATTGTTCTTTGATGTAAACGCAGACGTTGGGTTCATGATTATAAAGTCTTAAAGTCCTGAACTGAACCTGAGAGAGGGAGACACCCAGACGCTGACGTCAGCACTGGGGTTGGCTAATGGTGCCTTCAGGAGCACTGGGAGACACGAGTACTGCAACCGCATACCATAAAATGCAATTCTGAATCTCGGAAGGACTCGAAATAAACTAGAAGTAAAGTTTAATGAAACCCTGTGGAGTGTTTTTAAAGTTACAGACCCTTTTTTGTTTTGTTTATTTTGTGAATATTTTTGTTTTATCGTCTCTGTAACGCTTCGGCGAACCAAACAAGCGAGCCGATCGATCAATAAGATATCAGCAGGAAATAAATGTCACAGCTGCAAGAGGAAACAGATTCATATGTAGATTAGTGACTTAACTAGACCATTATAGACATTATTAAGATTACTTTAAATGTTCAGACCCACCAGAATAATTTAGTTTTAAAAATTAGAAAACAATTTAATTATGTCTCTGAATGATTAAAAAGCTTTATTAAGACTTTTAAATGTAACTTTATGATTTTAAGTGTCATGTTTTCTCCCAAAATTCAACATTTGCATCTCCTGATTGTAACTAACAGACGTTCATTTAAATTTATGTAACTTTAATTGTAATGTAATCACTTTAAAGTGACTGTCAGTAACTGTTCTATTACTTTATTACTACACACACACACACACACCACACACACAGAGACATATATACGGTAATCTGTTGAAAAGATGGTTAAAAGAAAAACAGCAAAATAAAACCAACGAGAACTTATAAAAACAAAAGAAGAAGTATGAGCTAACTTAAGATGTGACAATACAGCTACCTGCATTAAAGTTAAATCCAGAGCTTATGGATTTAAAGGGTTACTTTAATTTACAGTTTTGTGTTTTAAAATGTATTTCTTTAGATTTTGGGAATGTTCTTCTAACCAACAAGTACAGGAAGGAGGAAACGTTGCTCAACTGTTATTGGAGCACAGAGCCAAAGGGGGGCGGGGCTAACTGAAAATAAAGTGTTATATATATAAAAAAACAAAAAACATCAGCACTGCTATCTGAATATAAACTAATTCTTACTTAAAAATAGAAAAAAAGTATCTAAAAATTTAAGTTTGACTGTTTTTTTTTAATGATTTATAGCGAACAAACTGTATTTCAGGTCTGTTTTTAGAGTGGTGAAGTTTCCGAGGGGAGCGTGAACGCAGCACGCGGATCAACCTGGAGGAGAGTAAAACTCGCTGCAACCGAACAGAAACCGCGAACGCAACAAGTTCACGCAACAATGGGACGTTTGCGGTTTAACGACGCGACCCGGACGCGTTTTTATTGATCCCTTTCATGTCGAGTCACAACTTTTAAGCCCGGGAAAATTCGGGGTCGACGTTGTTCGGTCGGTTGGCGCTCCGGTTGAAAACAAGAGTTCTGCTTTCAGTCGGATGGAAGTGAGTGAGACAGGTCGGTTTTAGAGACAGACAGGTCGGTTTTAACGGCTGCCTCTGAGGGACATTTTAAGGGTTCAATGTCCACGTTAAACTTCGCCGAGGAGCTGGACTTCAGGCTGATCTTTGAGGACGACGGCAGGCAGACAGCAGGTACGTGTCAGTTTGACGACGTTAGTTAGCCATTGTCAGCCGCGTGAAGCTCGCGGCAGGACGCGGGAGTGACACCGGAAGTGGAGCGACGACCACTTCAGAATAAAATCAGATAAAAAGATAAAAAGTTACAAATATATGATTTAAAATAAATAATACTGAAAAGGAGAGAAGAGAAATAAAAAAGAAGGAAGATTTAATGTGGATTTACAGACTCATTAATTCATGCTTTTTCAGGATGTTTAGTTTAATATATATATTATATATATATTATATATCAGTTGTCAATTTGTATGTTTTAAGATATATTACTAAATAAAGTATTTTATTATATTTTAAAATGTATAAGACAGTAACAGCAGAACTTTAAAATTTAATATTACATTTAATTTAATTTTTTAGAGGCTCTCGATAATAAAAAAGGTTCTGATCTTGTTGTTGAAATGTTAATTGGTGAAAGACAAAAGACCGGTGTACCTATAAGACTCTGGTGTCCAACCTGGGGGTCGGGACCCCCACTAGGAGTCGCCAAAGCTTCACACGGGGGTTGTGAGGCCTTCTTGATTTTAAGGCGTGTAAGAAATATACACAATAGGCCGATAATGTAAATGTAAACTGTCTGATAGAACAATGGCCAAGCGTTAGGGAGAATAAAACACTCAGGAGAATAAAGCTTATTAAGTCTGTATGATTGGTAAAGATGATAAAAATACAGAATACGGACAGAAAATTACATAAAAGGTTCCCTAAACAAGAAAAAATCTTCTCAAAGTTCATCCAACTCTGGTTTTACACAAACTTTCTGCTGTTACTGAGTTCACTGTTTGGGTTCATCGATCAGTTTTAATTTAATATGAAATATCTATAAAATATGTCACTGAGTCCCTGAAGGAAAAAAGTGATTAATCATCCTCAGCTTTCATTAATTTAAGTTGATCAGATTTGAGCTTGTTTATTGTATTTTATTTGTTTATTTGCACATTAATACAAAATAAAATGGACACATAGAGAAGACAGTTTTTACAGTGCAGCACAGGAAGGAAGTCCTCTTCTATTTTAGGAAACAAAAATGTAAAAAACTGAAACACACAGAAATGAAATATGTTATTTTGACTAAAAACAAAAAACAAAAGTAGTTTGAGTAAATTTAAGTGACACTGACTCTTATTGTTACTGTGAAAACAAAATATCTAGTAAAAAGTTCTTAATCAGGAATGTTTTTAACTCAATAAATTGAGTTTATTTCACTTAAAAGTTTCGATTTAATCAGTTTCAACAATTTGATGAGTTAAATGAACTCGTCTGGTTTTGGTACTAACAATCTCTAAATATTCAACACACACACGAATAAACAGCCATAAAAGACAACAAATAAATATTATTATTGGTTTTGTTTTGTTTTGTTTTATTGACGTACAAATTTACATTTTATATGTGAGGCAATCTAAACAAATATTATATAATTACAAGTTGAATACAGTAAAATAAGAAATACAGAACCAGCAGCAGTCAGTCAGTCAGTTATAGTAAACTATCTAAATAAATATAATAGAACCAGTCAGTTTTTAATGTTTGACATAATCAAATTACCCATTTCGTCCAAAGATTTATTTATAATAAGTTATTTATAGTATTTATAATCTTAGAAGTTTAAGATGGAACATTTTGCTGCAGAAGTTATTTAAATAGTGAATCATATATTGAAACAGTTGATGATTCAAGTTCTGTAAAAGATCAGTTTCACTTCTTGCTCGGCACAGAGGGTTTTATTTTGAAGGGTGTAACCGGAAGTTGTGTCGTCTTATTGTAGTGGATGTGACACAACCAGCTGTTAAATTTAGTTTAATTTGTAAAATGTGAATCAGGAGCTGAAAAAGAGACTAAATCATCCTCAACTAAACCCCACTGACAGCTGCAGAGTATTGATCACTATTATTGATTAGTCAGCTGTATTTTTAATGTATTGATTATTATTGTTTGGGTCAATGTTGGTCATATTTTATGTGCTAACATGTGCTAATTAGCACTAAAGTGGAGCCGAGGCTTTCATCTGTCCCAAACTGAAGTTATTTTAATTCTGCATACACTCTCTGGAATGGAAATGTACATACAGACACTTTAAACAGTGTTATTGTTAAACCAAATAATCCCAAACTCACTCAGAGGACATTGTTTAAATCTACAAAGATCATCATTGGAAATCTTAGAATCTCGTCTATTTATTGATCAGAACGCTTTTAGGATACAGTCACAACAACGGGCCCAATCGGCGCCTCAAACTAACGAGCGATCATAAAATTGAGCCAACTCACCCAAGAAGCCTCGCTGTAATCCAGGAATCAGTAATAATCCAACAAGAACAGTCCTGTTTCAGTACCAAAGGTCCAATATATCCACTCACTACACGAGCACGTAGATAAATGACCATCAACAGCTGTCTTTTAGAGAGTGTTATCTTTTAACTGAGACCAAAACCATACATATACTGCAAATGGTTGAAGAACAGCTTTTCATTTACTTTGGGTAAATGTTGTTTTTAGGTCATTTTACAGACGGTAAGAGGTTAAGGGTCTAAAAAGTTGCTAAATTTATCAAGAAAGTCGCCAAGTTGGCAACTCTGGTTCTCTGAATTGAGAACATGTGACGTAGCGTAGAGCTAACGCGCTGCTGCCTCACATTTTTGTTAATTTGATCACTTTTTTCCGCCACCATTTAATCTTGAGCCACGTTTAATGAGTTCTTGAGCACATTCGATTGCTAATCAGCTGTCTGTAAAAATGAGTGAAAAATGAACCTAATGACGTTAAACACTAAAATAAAGTCTGATTGGAGCCTCTTGGAATTAAAAACAAAGACTAGTTTCCAGTTCCTGGTGGTTGATGCCTCGTAGTGTTTCCCCCTCCGTGTTAAACTGCTGAGTTACGTGTAACCGCTGTGTGTGTGAACTTCAAACACAGGCTGAAAACATTGATTTTGTATTTGATTGGTACTTTCTGTCAGTGTGGTCCACATGAAGCCGAGGTTAGGGTCGATACGTGGGGCTGTTGGAAGTTCAGAGGATCCTAAACGAACCAGATAATACACTGAGGAACGTCTGCAGGTGGTGAATAAAGGAGGGAAACAACCAGTCGGACCTCTTTAACGTTCACCAGCTGACACTGATTGTACCGATGAGGCTGCTTGTGTTTGCAGACAGCGTGACGCCCAGTCTGTCTGCACGCCTGTTTTACTTCCCGGTTTTCTAACCGCCCTGTGGCACCCAGCTGGTGTCGGGCATCGCCTCCTCCTCTTACTCTACCCCGGAGGAAGAAGGTGGAGGAGGAGGAGGTGGGGGGGGGAGCTCATTTATCTCCATCCAACACATTGAGGGTTATTTGCAAAGCTGTTGAAGCAGATCACAGTTGCCGCTTTGACGCCTTTTTTGCATGAAGCATGTGAGAGCGAGAAAGAGGAGTATTAATAGTTGGGCTGTGGTGAGAGAGTGTGTGCAGCTGTGTGAATGAACTGTTGTAGATAATCTGTCACTGTAGTGTCACTGTAGTGTTACTGTCACTGCACTGTACACAGGTTGCCACTTACACACACAAACAAACACACACAAACAAACACACATATATATATATATATAATTTAGGACACTGTGTGTTTATATATATACACACAGTGTCCTAAATTAACTGGCGCCAAATGCCAAAAAGTCATGTGTTTGCAGCCGGTAAATAATTTGGAATCACAGCGTCGGACCAGGTTTACATTGTTGGGTTGTTTATGTGTACTGTGACCCTCACTGTCCACCGTAGCTATCGTGAGCTCAGTGAATCAAATCAAAGCAGCTTAATACAATTCCTGAGGAAGCACTTTCTACGCAATGTCTGTCTGTTGTATTATTCATTAATTTCCTATGAATTAACAACTGACGTACGTGGTGGTCAAACACTAAACTCCAGAACCAAACATGAAGGAACTAAACTGATAAAAGACGAGAGCAACAGCATCCCTGTGAGAAACTCTGTTGTTTGTTGTTAACATTTGATGAACCAGCTGCTGATGGATTATTAACTGTCAGGTGCAGGACTGAGACGGCTGCGACATGGCAATAAAAACACAACTGTATTTGCAATGCAAATCATCTCAGGTCTGATTTACATGTTGGTTTTATCTGTTACACCCTAACAGGTCCAGATCTCGATGTGAGGACTCCTCCCACCTCCACGCAGGCTCTGGCCGAGCAGCCCATCTTCCAGGAGCTGCAGAGTCACCCCACGTATGTACCCACCGCAGATGACTACCAGCACTTCGGCTACCAATCGCAGGGGCCCCAGTATAGGACCCAGGGGAACCCCAGGGCGTTTGACTGCCCCAGTATCCAGATCACCTCCATCGCTCCGAACAACCATGTGGAGCTGGGCAGTAGCCACGAAGCTTTGGCGGTGGGTGGGGCAGAGGGGGGTTATCCTGAGGCATCCTGGTCCAGAGGACAGCTCTACCTGCCCCTGGACGCCTGCTACCGGGATACGGCACTTTGCCCGAGCCCCTGTAGCAGCCTGTCCTCCAGGAGCTGGATTTCCGACCTCTCCTCCTGCGAGTCCTTTTCCAACGTCTGCGATGACGTGGAGGGCGAGCTGCGCGACGCTGCTCGCCTCGCCCTGGGGTCCCCCCTAGGATCACCTGTGGGGTCCCCGGGCTGCGGGGGCGGGGCCTTTGGGGTGGAGCTGTGGCAGCAGAAGTACCAGCATCCTTCAGCCTTCAGCCCGGCGCTGTCGCCTCATCAGTCGCCCCGCCAGTCGCCCCGCCAGTCGCCCTGCCACTCCCCTCGCGCCAGTGTCACAGAGGAGAGCTGGCTGAACCGACGGCCCACCTCCAGGTACAGTTGTGTAATTAGTAACTTTATTTATTTAGAGTAGTAGTCTCGCTGAGATCAAGACCTGAGAGAAAGAAACATTTATAGTCAGACAACCACTGAACTATATTTTTGGTTTATGGTTTACAAAACAAGCAGCCTTTTAATTCTAGTTTAATATTCACATGTATCTGCCATCGAGCAAAAAATACATATTTAAGTACTGATTAGGAAGAATAATGTTTACATACAATGTAAATAGTGATGGACCAAGAGTAGAGCCCTGTGGCACCCCATTACTGATGGTGAGCATGGAACCAATTCAGTGCAACCTCATCTAGACCTATAGGCAGGAGTTTATAAACGACGGTATCAAATTCAGCTTTTAAGAGGTCCAGTTTGAATTTTCATTATTTACATTTTATTGATTTGTTTCTACAGTTTACCTGCTAGAGTCTCTGTGAGGCTGTACTCAACTCAACGCTAATGTCAGCATGCTAACATGCTGTATATTTCTCTGAGAGATAGAATCTAAAAATAAAACATTATTTTTAAGAAAAGAAGTATAATCCAAGAAAAGAGAAACTATATTATATCATTATATGGATTTAATAAAGAGAATGTGATTAACATTAAGACGCTAATCCTGTCTGGACTTCTTTCTCAGGCCGTCATCCAGACCGACCTCCCCCTGCGGGAAGAGACGCCACTCCAGTGCCGACCCCTACGCTCGCTCGCCCTCCCCTCACCACTCCCCCAGCCCCACGCCGGGCGCCTCTCCGCGGGGCAGCGTGACGGATGACACCTGGGTGGGAAGCCCCGCCGGCGCGCTGGGATCCCTCCTGATGTCTGGCTACCAGGAGCTGGACGTCCCCTCAAAGACCAGGAGGACATCGGGGAGCCAGCTGGGCCTCCTGGCCGGACAGGGAGACCCCGGGCTGGAGCCCTTCCAGGACTCCCCGGCGGAGGAGGGACGCGAACAGGACGGCCTGGCCGAGCTCTTTCTTCAAGTGCCCTCCCACTTCAGCTGGAACAAACCCAAACCTGGAAACCCTCCTCTGTTCAGGTTGGCTTCATTTCACTGAAGCTGTTGTTGCTTTTAAATGTGTTCGTTCACTGATTGTTTTTGAATGATTAGTCAGTTTTACAGAAAATAGTGTAAGAACATTGTTCAAGGAAAGGTTTTGGAAAATATATTTATTCTCTTTCTGGACATTGAACTTACTTTCTACGGAAGCGTATTGAATTCACTTGAAAAAAAAAAAAACTCGTTTTTTTGGAGTAATTTATTTTTTGGATTGTTTTTTTTAATACTTGTTTCTGTTTTTCGGAGTAATTTTTTTCTGAATTATCAAGATACTTCGAATTCCCGCGAGAATCTCCAACCTGCAAGTGACTCCCATGGACCTATGGTGACTCCTGCCAGCACATACATGCCCCATCTTCAACTATCTACCTCAGGTGCCTGCGTAGAGTCGACAAACTAATGATAGTACCATCTATATGACTTAAAGACAGGACTATCTCCCAGTGTCTGAAACCCAGATCAAAGTAAAACTTGATTGAACTAAACAAGCGGTTATGTTTGTTTCCCATAAATCGAGCTCTCAATAAAGGAATGAATGCGTCTATTGTTTCAAATGCTCTCTAAACTCAGAGAAAAAACTAGTCTGAAAAAAAACCAAAAAATAAATTTTCAAGTGAATGCAATACGCTTCCGTATACTTTCATATCTGCCTGTTAAACGTAAAATATGTAGTTTCTGCAAAGTCAAACCAGACCCTCTCTATCTCCCCCTGGTGGCTGACTGCAGTATAGTTCATAAAGCCTCCATGTTAGCAGATGCAAAAAACATTACCAAAGATGGTTTCTGTCGTTCTTATCACGCTTAATTAGTTATTTGAAGATATAAAAAGGGAGTTGGGAACCCTTGAGCTCCCTTCAGAGATCCACTACTAAAGGAACAGTTGGTTGGTTGGTGACGTACAATATCTGATCGTCTGTTGTCTCTGCCTCCAGTATCTCGTCACCTCCTCCTCTGGACTGGCCTCTGCCCAGCCAGTTTGACCAGTGTGAGCTGAAGCTGGAGGTCCAGCCCAGATCCTACCACAGGGCGCATTATGAGACGGAGGGCAGCAGAGGGTCCATTAAGGCTGCGACTTCAGGACATCCTATCATCAAGGTAAGACCGACTCACACACTCAGTTCGACTTCACCCTGGTTTTTAGAACAAGGTTTCCTGACAACTTAATTCTGACTAATATTACGACTTTATTCTCTTAATTTCCCCCCAAAAAAGAAAAAGAAATTCTCTTAGTCTGGCCCTAATACTCCATCGTAGGGTTTAGACTGTTGGACTCTTTAACAGTTTATTAGGAACGAGTGGTAGCCCCACATCATTAGAACAGAGAGGTGAAGAGCCACTGAGGGATGTGTGTCGGCTAATGTTGTGGGCGAACAGCCTCGTGGATCCTCCTGGATCAGAGGACAGAGGCCGGCTGAGGCAGGGAAAGCTCCGTCAAGGCCTCGCGTGTAACGGACACCAGCGGGGCTATTCTGGGTGTCGCATTCTGCTGAACCCAGATCAGCTTCCTGCTGCAAGATGTGTAAAAAGTCACAGTGCTGCTGTGTCACACAGGAAACTGAAGCTGTTTGTTTGTGAAATCCACAAAACAGCAACTCACAAATTAGAATTAAAAGTTCTGTAGCACTGCCTACGAATCCTCTCCTCCAGCTTTAAGGAGTTAAGTTTGTTTAGTACAGACTTCAACAAATGTCACATCATCGGGTTTTTAATATTTTTTTCAGTGGAAATTAAATTTGTGATATAAAAATGATCCTTCACACTAATCGATGTTTTTATTTAACTTTTATTTCAGTGAAACTAAATCCTTTTATACATTTGTTTGGTTTTATTTCTCTATTTTTATGTGTCTTTTATTATTTATTCATTCATGTTTAATCTATTTGTTTGTCAGTTTTCATAACTTATTGTTATTTACTTCATTGTAAAAAACAATATTGAATATGAACTTTACTGAATTTATCAGGGAGCTTTTTTATAGAGAAAATAATTGTTAGAAGTATATCTTTCCTTATTAATGACGCAGGCACCCAGGGTCCTGGTGGTTAACAAGGTGTCATCATGATACGTTTTACTGAAGTTAGTTACACGCATAAGATCATCAGTGTCTAAATGATCACTGATCTGTCCGGATATCTTAAACATGGGGACATTAAATGCAGTGTGCAAACTTTTTCCCGGCTTTCTGGGGGAATTATTTCTGATCTGAAGTTCCTCCTGGAAGCTGTGAATTCTGTGCAGTCTTCAACCCAATCTGTAGTTTCCTGCACAAAGAGTCATAAGTCACCGAACCCACTTCCTGGTTTCTAGTGTTGAAGATGCAGACGTGTGCGACACCAACATCACACATTGACCCTTCAAAGAGTCGGTTTTATTCTCACTGGAACAAGTTGCCTTCAATTCTTGAAACTTTCGCACACAGTTTAAAAACATCACAACATGCAATCTAAAGTATTTGAGACACCTCCCAAAATGTAATAAATCATGTTTTCATGTTAATAAGCCATGAGCTCCCCTGTAGTTCGCCAGTTTCTACACATCTAACACAGCCGTCCAGGTGTCTGTCAGGAGTTGATCTGAGGTGTATCGTTGAATCTTTGTCTCCAGCTGACGGGATACAGCGAGCAGCCGGTCAGCCTGCTGCTGTTCATCGGCACCTCCGACGACCGCTACCTTCGCCCTCATTCCTTCTACCAGGTCCACCGGGTGACGGGGAAGATGGTCACCACCAGCTGCCAGGAGAAAATTATGGGTGGCACCAAAGTCCTGGAGGTCCCGCTGCTTCCAGAGAACGACATGTCCGCCAGGTAACAGAGGGGACGGCAACAGAGCTGGATGTAGAGTTTAGGCATTAAAAGGTTATAATGTCTATGAAATTCACTGCATCTCAGACCAGAACAAAATGAAACTGACCAGAACTGACTTTGTTAGTCTTTTCAACAATCCCCTATGGAAACAAACCACAGAGAGGCTGCCATACAACACAGGCAGAGGGAGTGAGACACCATGTGACTCTGTATCTTTATATAGAGAATAGCTGTTTGCTGATATATTAATGTTTATAATATATAAAACCTTTGAGATTAGCAGCATAATGCATTTTGCTTTTCTTTTCCACAGCATTGACTGTGCCGGCATCCTAAAGCTGCGTAACGCCGACATCGAGCTGAAGAAAGGGGAGACGGACATCGGGCGGAAGAACACGAGGGTGCGCGTTGTGTTCAGGGTCGCCGTCCCGCAGCCGGACGGTCGGATGCTGTGGCTGCAGACGACATCCGTCCCTGTGGAGTGCTGTGAGTACACCTGTAACACACGGAGACGTCACATCTACATCTGATTGAGTCATTCAGGGAGGCTTTCACTCAGCAGAGAGGAGACACAGAAAATGTTCATCCTTCATTTCGAAACCACATTCTAATCGAAGAAGCAGAAGAGGAAGTCAGAGGGACGCGTTGCTTCATATAAACATAGATTATAATCAATGAGGTTTTCTTCTCACTGCTGAGTGAATATTTGCTCTGCCTGATGCTGCTGGAGAAACCGCTCATATATTGAAATGTGTGTTGTTGTTTCAGCCCAGCGCTCGGGTCAGGAGCTTCCCCAGGTGGAGAGCTTCAGTCCAGCCAGCTGCTCCGTGGACGGAGGAGAGGAGCTGCTCCTCACCGGATCCAACATCTCCACACAGTCCAGGGTTGTGTTCACGGAGAAGGGGCCCGGTAAGAGCAGTTAACGGTAACTTACCGTGCATTAAACACACGTAACATCCTGCTAAATGTTTGAACTGTTCCCCCTCTCAGATGGAAGAGTGCTGTGGGAAACAGACGCCAGACTTGTGCCGGAGAAAAGCAGCGGAGTAAGTAGAAACAGAAATCTGTGAGTCAGTTCATTATAGTTTATAATAACGCACTGCAGTGAGGATGAGACAGACCTGTCTGTCTGTCTGTCTGTCTGTCTGTCACTAACAGAGAAACTATAAGATTTGAAGGATTTATTTCAAACAATCTGGACATGTGCAGTGGACACTGAGGAACCCAAACAGCTTCAGTCCTCTGCAGGAGTAAACAACATGTTTTTACAGTAACTACCTTGTATTTGTTGCATACAGTCATCACTCCCTGTCAGTCCCACAGCAACAGGATGCTGATAAAGTAGGTCATCAGTACGCCAGGATACCAGTCTGTGTGCTGTGTTCCTGTTAGCGGCTAGCTAACGCGTCCTGATACCACAGAGAATAAAACGGAGCTGAAACGTACGATGAGGAGTTGTTAAATGTCTCTCAGCGAGCAGATAAAGTCTGCTATCGGTCAGATTCCCCTTGAAATCAATGAAATGAGGCGGTAGAAACACTAATGTTTGTCCACAGGCGGTGCCAGAATCAACATAAAGTCTTACATATTTATATTCATCAGGTGGACACAAACATGACTCTGATGGGCAGTGGTGGAAATTAGCATTATTATATATTCATAATTATATATATAATATATATAATAATATATATAATAAAATATATATTTTTTAAATCTTTTTTTTACACATTTAGTGTTTAAACATACGATTAATGTCAAAGAAAGTAAAAGTGTGCGTCCTGCTCGCACCACGAAGCGTCCCTCCTGCCGGGCTGCAGCCGACCTGCTGGGACAAACAGACACAGTCGTTTTTATACAAAGAAATAAATAAATTAATGTGTATAGTTTGAGGAAATTTACAAGAAGACCCAAATTATTAAAAATCTGTTGTATGCAAAGTTCATAAAGCTTCTCCTCAACAACTCTCAAAAGTTAACCCAGAACTCGTGTTAATACCAGGACAGGACCGATATCTGCTCTGTTAATCACGTGATGTGTTACGCAATGAGCGTGAGCCGCCTCACAGCTGGAAGAGTCGATTCTCTGTTTTGGGAGCATTTGAACGTCACTTAAGATGGCGGTGAGGATCTCCCCCCCCGGAGGAAGTACAAAGAGGAAGTTAACAAGGGTTTGTTGAAACCACAGAGAGTCTGAGGGAGGAGTCAGCGTGACGTCACTGGAGGTTGTAATAGATTTTGTAACAGGGACGCGAGTGTGATGTTTATTTATGTTTCATTAAAGGCCAAAACAAACAATATCAAAGGTTCTTCAGTTCTTCATTCTTTCATATAAAATGATGACAAAGAGGCAGTTTTATTCTCAATAATCAGATTATTGATTGTTGTCCGAATCCTGAACAGAACCGGTTCAATAATTAATCTTACCTCCGCTCACTATCTTAACATCACAGTTTACAGCGTTCCCACACATCCTGGAAAACCTGGAAATTTAGAGTGCGACTCCCTCACTTTAGCCTCCGCTTCCAAAGGGAGAAACTACTCCACCTATCTACAGCTAGTGTTTGGTTTGTCCCTTCTGGGCTACTGTAGAAACATGGCGGTTGTATTTTGTAGTTAACCTTCACGTCTGTGTTTGTGTCTCTCAGTCCAGCATTGTGGTCGAGGTTCCTCCGTACAACAGGAAGACATCGGATCTGGTCCAGGTCCAGTTCTACGTCTCAAACGGGAAGAGAAAAAGAAGTCTAACACATAATTTCACCTACCTGCCCGCAGTCAGACGTCACCTCCCCGCCGCCGCCGTCCCCGCTGACGGAGTGAAACAGGAGCCCTGGGACACAGACCACATCCCCCTCAATCCACCTGGCTTCTGTCCGACCTCCCACGACCGAGTGCTCGGCCCAGACCTGCTGTTTTATGATTCCTGTGACATCCCAGTGCACTGCGGTCCTCCTCCCCATAACGCGCCTCGTCTACATCACCCCCCTCCCTCCTTAATGTTTCCTCACGCCTCCTCTGTGCCCTCCGCAGTCCCCCATCAGACCCTGATCCCTCTTCAGACCTCCACCCTGCCTCCTCAGGTCGCCACCCTGCCTGTCCAGGCCTCCTCGGTGCCCCTTCAGACCTCCTCTGGTGGACCCCAGAGGGAACCGTCTCCGAGCTCCAGAAGGGCCTTCGTGCCCGCCGCCGACCCGCAGAAGGACTCCCCGCTCTCTGGCCCAGGAGAGACGCTGAACATCAAGCAGGAGCCGGAAGAGTCTCAGCCGAACCTGGGATCCCTCGGCCTCCGGGAGATCACGCTGGATGACGGTAGGAAGCTGTGTTCACTGTCCCGCTGTAGGATCCGTAGCTCAGAGTCTCAAGCAAAGGGAAAACATCCATAGAAACTTCTTAAAGCAGTTGGTTCCCAACCCCTTTATCTATCAGTGAGTAAACTACAGCTGATCAACTGATCAATGAACACAAACAGTGAACTCAGTAACTGCAGGAAGTTTGATTATTTCCTGTAACTATTGATCAGAGAATACAGATTTAATAGGATCTTTTTTTGATCAATTCAGTGTTTTCTTCTCTCTGATACTTGATCAGCTCATCAGAGTTTAGACATTAAATAATTCACTGTAATGTGATTAAGTTATTTTAACTTAGAAAAGTTGTTTACATGGAACAATTTAACTCAGTTTTTAGTTAAAAAACATTCTTGATTTAGTATTTTTACTAGTTTTTTTCACAGCACAAATAAAAATGTAAAAATTACGCAAAATGTTTATTTAGAGTTAGTTTTACTTAAAATGTACAATGTTATCAGTTAAATTAACTCATCTGGTTTCACATGAAATGTATAAAATGCTGACATAAAGACCTACTGTGTATACAGTACGTTTTTTAGCTTTAAAATCAAGAAGGCCTCGACCCCCCTGGGACATTTTGATGACCCCTAGTGGGGGTCCCGACCCTCGGGTTGGGAACCACTGTCGGGAGTTTTTACTGGAGAAATAATCTGCTTAAATTTATTTATTATAGCTAATTATTGAATATATTTAAATATATATATCAAATATAAAAACTAATTACGACTAAATTGAAGTTTCAATGTGGATTAAAACGCAGTGCTTTCTGGGTAATGTGGACTGTGGTTTGTGCAGCGCTCGCTGTGGTGTGTGTGTGTGTGTGTGTGTGTGTGTGTCGCTGTGTGCTCTGTGGTGTTGGTTATTTATATATGTGTGTGTGTGTGATCTGGGTTAATAATAGCTCCGTCTGCTTGTTGCTGGTCTGACTGATGCAGACGGGGTTAAATTTGTTGCTGTGCCTCAGTTGGCGAGCAGCAGCTGTCATCGGGCCTCTGACCCTGGCCGCCGCTGCCCCCCCCCACACACCCTCGCCTTTCAGCTTGACTTTGACCTCCTCCGCCCCGCTGGAGGAACATCAGCCTGCAGACACGTTCTCGAACCGGTTCAAGAATCTTGGTTCTATCTACAGAACCAGTGTTACACAACCACCTGTAGCGTATGACACGCCCACTTTGGTTCCCGAGGAAAACCTGCTGTTATTTATTATTAACGCTTTAGATTTTCAGGATTCTTGGAACTAGACCAGTGTGAGTGGACCCGAACGGAGCCGGTTCCCAGTAAACGCCAGTAGAACCAGTGTGACTGCGGCGGTTTATCACTGTTACGCTGCTGTTGCTGCCCACTAGTGGTGATAAAGTCTAAAGATGAAGATAGGTTTTCCTCTGCTGGTGGTTCCCCTCAAACAATTTAACGAAACCAGTTCGAGAACCAGAACTGATTTGGTGGAAAAACACTCCAGGTGTCTTATTTTCTGTATATTTCATATTATATTCAACAATAACAGCAGATAAACTGAACAATGAAACCAAACAGTGACTCAATAACGGCAGGAAGTTTGTGTAAAGTCAGAGTCTGATCTGTATTATGTATTTTTATAATTATTTAACAATCAAACAGACTTAACAGGCTTCTTTTTTTGACAGATTCAGTGTCTTTGGTTGTTTTCTACTGCAGGACGAGGCTGTTGATTAGAGACTGAAGCTCTGTCAGTGTACACTGTGATCAATAATAATAATAATATTAATATACACAGTGTTCAGCGCCCTTATCCTGTTTATTTGGGATTCACAATATGGATTTCAGCCAATATGATAATAATTACCTGTTTCTCAAGGCCAATACAGATAGTTTGACATGCTTGTATTTTAAAAAAGAAGTTGATGACCCAGAGTTTTTACACACACTGAGGATCCTGGAGGTCCTGGAGGTCCTGGAGGATCCTGGAGGTCCTGGAGGGAAGTGCAGGCAGCTGTTGGGGGAATGTTTTTACGTGATGAGTTTGACCGTAATCTGTGTGAATGATTTTTACGATCGTACACGCAGATGAAGTTGTGGTTAAGGGGCAGCGTGTTGTGACGAGTGTCGGTTGGCTGCACAAGCTTCAGGTTTCAGTGCGGCGCTATGTATAGACCGAGTGCAGAGCAGCTTTACTACTGTTACTAATAATAATAATCATCATTTCTCACCTCCACCGAGACCCCGGCCTGCTCACCGTGTCCTGAACCAGAGCTCTGAGTTACGTCTGTATTAATCAGTGGGCCGATTATTAATTGGTGGAGGCAGTTTCTCTCTTTTACAAACCTGCTGAGGTTCATTAAGAGTCATAGAAAAGTTTCTGGAGAACATGTTTAAACAGTTTGTGTCCAGCTGCTCCCCCCGGTGGACGGACCGGGAGCTGCAACACAGAATCCAGTTTCCTATTTCTGAACAAACAAATGATTTCACAATATTTTCTGGTGTTTACGAAACAGCGATTTCAACACCAGATGACAGATTAACATCTACATACATTAAAACCTCTGGTTCCCAACCTTTTTACTTAAAGGAGCCCTTTCTATTATTTATTCAACTCACTCATATTTTATGGATATTTTATATTATTGAACTCAGTAACTGCAGGAAGTTTGTGTAAAACCAGCGATTTGGATGAAATTTGAGCAGATTATTTCCTGTTTATGGAACTTTTTATACAATTATCTGTTTGTATTCTGTGTTTTTATCATTTTAACAAACTTAATAACCTTTTTTTTGTCAAATTAAGTGTTTTCTTGTCCCTGATGACATTGTTCTGTCAGACAATTTCCTTTACTTGAAATGAACCAAATGCTGAGATATCGGCCTATGGTCAAGTTTTGTAGCACTTAAGTTTTTCTAGTGGGGCCCCCGACCCCCAGGTTGAGAGCCGCTGCATTAAAAACACTTCAGTGAAAGATTACTCACCGTTTACGTTCATCCAAAATCTATCTAGAAAGCTAAAGTAAAGTGCTATCAACGAGACTTTGTAGTTGCAGATCACAGCTCCCTCATTCACCCCCTTTGAAGCACGTAGAAACTACTACTCTGTAGATAAAACGTATTCTAAGGTAACAAAAACACAAAGATTCTTATATTCAGGTGATTAAACACTAATGAAAACATACCGATGGATATTATATTATATTTCTGCCCAGCGATCCTCCTAAATATTAAACACTGGACCTTTAAGAAATACGACCACATTACACCCGTCCTAAAGTCACTAAACACCAGCGGTGGTTTGACAGAGTTTTCATCCACCAACAGGGAACCGACTCCATTTCTGAACGTTTACACCAAAAATAAGAAAAAGTTGTTTTAAAAAGTGTGTGTCACCTGAAAACAAGTTTGTTGTGTTTTCGTTACCTTAGAATGAGCGGATCCTCTTCTACAGTAGCCCAGAACGGACAAACCAAACACCGACTATAGATAGGGAACTTATTTTTCAAGTGTTTCGTGGCCACCGTAGTTTGTCCTACACACTTGGGATGAGAGGGTGATGTGAGGGGGTTGTAATCTGCAACTACACCACTAGATGCCACTAAATCCTTTCAGAGAATCTTTTATGTTTCCAACTTTATCAGGTAGAATTTCTCAAACTTTTTTCCTGCTTCTGTTTTGCAGTGAACGAGATCATCGACAGAGACATCGGCGGTCTGAGCGTCGGCGGCGCCGCCCAGCCCGACCAGTTTGACCAGTTCCACCAGTACGACTGGGATCAGAAGTCCGGCGACGGCGCCTTACCGTTCTGTGGAGGCCCTCAGTAGTCCCGCTGCTTCTTCTTCTACTGTTCCGCTTCTTGGACACAAACACGCCGGCGCTCGCGTACGTTTGCACAGCGCGCACCAAGTGCCTGAGAACCAATCAGCAGCCTCCGACGAGCTCGACTCATCAGGGTTTTTTCACGTCACTGTTTCGTCCTCGTCTCTCAGGAAGTTTTTCACTGACGAACCAAAGATTTCTGTAGCTTTTCCTGATCGAATTGGAACAAAAATAAAAAAGGGCTGTAAGTGAACGTTGGCGATCAGAAACGTCATTCGAGGCTAAAAGTCGCACAGAAACGAGAGAATCATTATTATTTATTGGCTAATTGATTAAGAAATCTATTTTTGATACTCTGGATCAGGTCCAGGATAAACTAAAAGTCCTTCAGCTGATTATTTACATTTTTTTATAGCTTGGTTTTAACTCTGTACAGTTTACATTTCCTTGGCTGAATTACATGAATGCTGTCCGACCTGTTGTTGTTGTTGTTGTTGTTGTTGTTGTTGTTGTTGTTGTTGTGAAGCTTCAGACACTGAATGACAGAAATGTATCCTGAGGTTGAAGTAAAAAGAAAAACTAAGAAAATGTCGGGTGTTCTGTGTTTCTATAAATCATTATAACGGAGTGTGAGTTGGGACCTGATGGATACCAGCGGGAACACGGTTGAGGCACTTTTGGTTCTCGTGGCGGTTTACTACAGAGAGGTCAAAGGTCAGAGCTCGGTCGGGGGAAGGAAGTTGAACTTCCAGATGTGGTTTGTGGGCAGGTTGGGTCACAGAACTCACTGAGATTCAGACGAGTTGTAGTCGTCCTCGGCCTCCGATTGGTCGGGTTCAGGCACGAGGAGGCGGGACTTAGAGTTGGGCGATAATATCGTCATTGTTGTTTTGACGATGTGCAAATTTCCATCATCGAGTATTTAAATTACTTTAACAAAAACATTGAAACACACACGGAAACTCCTCCCATCCATTAATACACGGTGCAGCAGCGTTCAGAGCGCTTCAAGTTGAAATCTGTTCAACCTTTAACTCCGCTGGCCGCTCGGAAAATGAGTGTTTGAGCTCTCAGCGCTGTAAACGCGTTTGGTGGACACAAGTCCAGCTCAGACGATTCCAATCACATTTTAAAGGATATCGATTATCGTTATCGCCAAAATCCCCAAAACATAACGAGATATTATTTTTTGCCCATATCGCCCACCCCTAGCGGGACTTCCTGTGCGGTGAACTATTCACATTATAAAACTATAAAAACTAAATGTTGCTGTTTATTTGAGCAGTTTATCCTCATCGTTCCTGTTTCAGAACCTTTATTTCCACCCAGTGGACTCGCTCAGTGCAGGTGGGTCGCAGGAATACACACAGGACGACGTTTACTGGATTTATTAGGAGAGAACAAAAGTTTTTGGAAGTGAACTTTTAAAAGTCTGTAATGATTCAGAACAGTGTCGGGATTAAACCGCAGCGAGGATCCGACTGATCCTCCACCCCCTCATTTAAAGAGCTGCTGGTCCGGGTCCGTCTGAACGAAGCAGAACTCTTCCACAGCGGATCCAGATCCTGTAGTCCAGCAGCTGTTGGCGCAGGTATAAACCAGCACCGTCCCGAACTCCAGCTCCACCTCGCCGCCGCCGCTCCTCTGCAGCAGGCTCACCAGAGCCGGCATCAGCTGCAGCTCAAAGGTCCTGGACCCGCCGCAGGAGCCGCACGCCGAAACCACGTGAGCCATGTTGGACGGCGGCTCGGAGATGAAGAGCGGTTTCCCGCCACGACAGTACCGCAGGATCTGCTGAGGACACCGCGAGATCTTCT